AACTGAGATGCAAAGCAGTGGGATGGATTGGAGCAAGGTGGGAGGAGAGCCAGCAGTGGGGCTGCAGGCAGTGGGGCTGCAGGCAGTGGGGCTGCAGGCAGTGGGGCTGCAGGCAGTGGGGCTGCAGTGTTTGCTTTGAGGGTCGCCTCAAACCATCGGGATCACGGGCAGAGTTTGTGCTCAACTCTGCTTTTGTCTCTAATGGGAGATCGTGGAGGGGTTGGAAGTTGGGAGGCTGCAGGGGGAGGTTTTCAACCCGGGTTCTCTGTGCTCTCCAGCAGCTCTGCTCTTTTTTTGGATTTTTTTTTTCTTTTTTTTCTGCACCCAGCCGGGCATCCGTCTGCAGACAGGAGAGATGAAAATGAGCTCTCATCTTCTGCGGAGGAGAAGTTCATGGAGAGAGATGGAGGGAAAGCGAAGGGAAATTAAGCAGAAATAGCTTCGGGGTCATTTAAAAATATCCCCACGACTCCCTTAAATATATACTGAGCAAGAATTCATAGTCCATGGCTGAGGGAGCTCTAGGCACCGAATGTACAGAACGGTCTTTGATGAAGACCCATGGGATGGGTTGGAAGGGAGAAATTAGGGGGGTAGAGGGTGAGGGATGCAGCTCCCAGCTCCCCCCCTCCATGCCCACCCATGTGATGATGCACTGGGGGATGAAGCTGCCACGGGGTGATGATGAGGGGATGCCAAGCACTGGGATGGCTGGCAGCAGCATGATGCTCTTTGCATCGTCCAGCCTGTTGGTTCTGAGATCCCAAAGTGCTTTCCATCTCGTTGTGCTTCAGGAGTAAGAAGCCCCCCTTGTTTCTAACAGCATCTTGGACTGAAGGAAGGCTGAAAAGACATGTCTGGATCAGCCAGAGCCCATGAATTATTCACTGCTTCTCCGAGTTGCAGAGGATCCCATTACGAGGTGCAGAAGGGTCTCCTTGAGCAGCACAGCCTCACCCAGAGCTGTCAGCTCAGAAAGCCAAGAGCTGGAGGGATGTCAGCTCACACCTTCCTTCCCCAGGGCCAGCGCTGCTCCCATAGCAAAGGCAGGCAGGCTTTGACTTTGGGGCTCTGCCTGAAGGTTGGTGGGTGTCTCCTTACAGACCTGATTATTGATTGTCTCCTGCCTGAATCCCCACCCTGTCCAGATTGTAACTGCTGCCCTCGAGATGACGGATGGAGCTGCCAGCCTCTGATTTATTTTAATTGCCATCTTCCCGCTAGCGATGGAGAGGCACCGTGCTGGGGTGCTGGAGCTGGAGGCTCTGGGGGCATCTGGGTGTTATTATTATTATTATTTTGAGGCTGTCTGGGTTGGAGCATCCTCTTTTCCTGTCTGTCTGGTAAAGGAAAAAGTCACTCTGAAAATACACGGTCTGGGCACGTGGAGGCCATCTCCTTGCTCCCTATGTGAGGGTGCTGAGCTCTGCAAGCTCCTGATCAGCTCAACCCCTCGTGGCTGCTTGTGCAAAAGGCTGAGAAGCACCGTTTGCTGCAGGCTGCATCCTTGCTCCCCTCCCCGCCAGGACAGTGGGGAAAGGGCCTGAGGTTCTGCTGGGAGCTGGGCTGGCTTTGCACAGCATCTCTTAGCATTGCTTCTCCCTCTCACAGCAAGTGGCACTCATCCTGCAAGCAATTCATGCTTGGCAGTGACCAGAGCTTGCAGCAGAGATGGGAGCCTCCCCTGTATGCCCCCTCTGTCCCTATCCAAGGAGAGTTCTCTGCCCAGGAACCCTTGCTGAGGCTGAGCCCTATATCAGACATTTGGGGACATTTTGAGGGCTATGTGAGGTTCCCTCATCCGGAGCTGCCACCTGTTTGCAGGTCATGCAAGGCTGCTGCAGAGCTCACTCATCACATCATGGCGCAGCAGCGTGTCGCCGTGCAGTGACATGGCAAAGCATGGAGCAGAAATTCCAGTGCTTAAAGGCACCGGGCTGAAACTCGTCGGTGCTGAGCGTGAGGACCTCACCATCCTTCTGCAATGGGTACCCAAAATCTGCTGCCTCCATCCCAGTTGATATCACTGGATGGAGATGGGGAGTGGCAGGAGGGGTCCGGCTGCTCAGTCCTTTCTGCTGATGGATCCTGGGCTGCAGTGCAGGATGTGGTCCTGCTCTGTGCTCCTCCATGCTTCCTTAATTCTTTCCCTGCTTTGGGCTTTATTCTCCCGTTTCTATTAATCTCGAATGCTAGGTGGAAAGTGAACAATTACTGTTCTAACGGCTCCGCGAATTCCTGCATTATCAAAGCCGAACGGTATGAGCAGAGGAGGAAGAGCGATGAAATGCAGAGAGAAGGGAGCGATCTGCCCAGGGCTGGGATGGGGTACAGCGGAGTCGCATCCAGGTCCGGCAATTCCTGGGCTGTCGCTGCCCTCTGCCGGCTGCGGGGGCCGGGGAGCAGCGGGGTGTCGGGATGCTCACAGAAGATGCTGCCAGGTCCTTGCTGCTGTGCAGTTCGTGGGATTGGTGCTGAGCTGAGCTGGATGAATGGAGGTTGGATTTAGCTGGGCAATTAACTGATTGACTTCAGAGCGTGGGGAGGAGAGCAAAGGGAGGAAAGACGGGCAGTGGGGCGAGCTGTTCTCACTGAGCACATTCAGGTGAGTCGACTTCAGGCTCTGCTATTTGGGCTGCAGGATGCAGCCTGCTCCTCCTGGCTTTCCTCGAGGTGCTGTGAGCCGTCTCGTGGTTTGCTGCCAAGCCTCACCAGGAGCCCGTGGGGTGGATGTTCTCCAGTTATTCCTTCTCCTGGCCAAGGCAGACAGCGTCACATGAATTGCAGTGAGTGTGTGGGGGAAGCTGAGGTCGGAGTGCACGCCTGCTCGCTCTTGCACTGCAGAGAGGCTCCCAGGAGGGCTCTTGTGGCTTTGCCTAAGTGAAGCTAACACATTTCGACATCTCTAATGGCCAGCTGGGATGTGAGTGCATCTCCAGGAAGAACGGAGACTCGTCTGAATGCAAACCTGCCAACGGGCCAACGCCTCCCCAGCGGAGATGCTCAGAAGCCATCAATGCAGGGGGCTCAGCATCCCTTTGCCTCTCCTTGTCTGAGACCATTTCTGCCCTGGCTTTGAGGAGGAGATGCTCAGTTAAAGCCTAGAGAAGGGTTTCTGTAGAAAACAGCACGTTTCACTGATCCTGCAGCACCCAAGAGTCCCCCAGGATGAGTGTGGCTCTGCAGAGGGACCCGGAGGGCCGACTCCCACTGACTCCAAATGTAATTAGACATCTACATCTAGGCCAGGGGCTCAAGGGCCATCTGGCACTTTAATTATTCATGCACCTAAGTAAACACAGACGGAGCGCTCGTTATCTAGCTCGGGCCTGGGGAGCCATTTCTGCTTATGCAGAATCATTTCTCGTGGTCTGACACAGCACGCACTTCTTTGGGGCTTACTTTGGGTGCTGCATTGCCTTTCCCTACCCCCAAACCCCCCCCCTTTCCAAAGGTACCAGTGCCACCAAGCCACCCATTGGACAAATCCACATCTGCCATTGGCTGATGGAGGGGTGGATAAACTGCAGAGAAGTCCCCGCTTGGAAGGAGCAGATCTGGAAGAGGGAAATGAGCTGAAGCACCTGGCAGGAGAACACGTCCTTCTGGTGCTGTGACCCAGCGCTCCCCCAAGGTGTCTTTTAAGCTGTGACTCATCAGCTGTGGAATTTTCACTTCTGCCTTTCGCTCCCAACCTGAGGGTCTCGGCAGATAGAAAAACCTCCGGCGTTCAAAGCGTTTCCTCTCCAGCCCGTGGAGCTGTGCCGGGTCCTAGCAGATGTAGCCTCGAAGGCGAAGCTGAAATGTGGTTTTCCCCCCACGTTTCGATTCCTCAGCCATGGGGCACCCGGGGGGGNNNGGGGGAGGGGTGATGGAGGGGGTGAGGGTTATCTGTTCTAAACCAAAATGATGATGGTTTTTTTTCTATTCAACTCTGGAACGTTCTGCTCCCCAATGCACGCTGTGGGTTGGATCTCCTTCCCGAAGCTCGGGGCGCAGGATCCTAGCAGCACAGGTCCTGGAAGGGAGGTACAGCAGTAGTGCTGACACGCGGTGATTTTCCCATGGAACAGAAGAGCCCAGGCTCTCTCCTCCTGTCGCGTGTCCCCAGGAGAGCAGCGATAGGAGCTCATTTTCCGAAGCCCGACGCTTCTTTCAAGCAATTCCCACCACTCCTCGCCCTATATTTAGACACCGGCTATTTCCCACAGCTCCAAACCCACTCGGTTTTGGGAGGCCCGGTGAACCGCGCCTGACAGATGGCGGTGATGTGACGGAGAGGCGCAGCCTAACGGGCCGCTATTAAAAAAACCCCATTCGCTTCTCCCTCTGTTGGACGCAAACGTTCCGGGGCAGCGATCCCGTTACCGCCCACTTCCCCGAGGAGACCAATCAAGATCAGAGCGCTTCTGACTGACGACCGCGTTAGCCAATCCGCGTGCTCCAGACCGCATCCAATCAGATGCCTGGGGAGATTTTCTCGTCCAATGGTAAACGAAGAGCGGAGCGTGGGCAGCAGCCCGCGCTTCTTTAGGAGTGGCGTTGGCTTCAGCCAGTCAGAGCAGGGCAGGCCGGGTTAGCAGTGGCCAATGGAGAAAGGAGGCGGGTAAAGTGCTGCTCGCGAGAATTTGAGAGGGACGACGGGAACCCGCGGACCAATGGAGAGCGGCGGAGCGGCAGGATCGCGACAACTGGCAGGTGAGAGAGCCAATCGAAAGGAGGAAAGGCTTTCGCCCAATGGCCAATGAGTAAAGGAGGTCCCTCACCGCCGAGCCGCTCCTAGTGACAGGAGAGCACGACCAATCAGAAGGCCGCGCCCTTTCTAACTGTCCAATGAGATAGCGGGGCGGGGCGGACGGGGGGCGGCTCTTCCCGGCGCGCGAGGCCGGCCCGTAGACGGACATCTCCCTAAGCCAATGGGAACGAGAATCGAGGGGGCGGCTGGGCGGGTCTTCCGCCCGGCGGGAGAGAGAGGGTGGGGGTGAGGCGCCAAACGGCCAATGGGCGCCGAGGGGGCGGGGCCGGCGACCGCCGCGGCTTCCAAGATGGCGGCGGATGCGTGAGCGCGGCGGTCAGTCCGTCGGTGAGGCCGCCGGGGCGCAGGGCCGGGCGGGAGGCGGCCCCGCCGGCCGCCGCCATGAAAGGCAAGGAGCGCTCCCCGGCCAAAGCCAAGCGGTCGCGGGGCGGAGGGGGCGGCGAGGACTCGGCCTCCTCCTCCTCCTCGGCGCGCGGCGAGCGGAGCAGCAAGAAGCCGAGCGGTTCCGGCGGCGGTTCCAACGGCGGCAAAGCGGCGGCGACGGCGGCGGCGGCTTCCAACGACAGCAACAGCGGCAGCAGCCGGCGCGGCCCGCACACGGACAAGGCCGCCCGCGCCGGCAGCCGGGAGTACGAGAGCGGGGCGGCGGCGGCGGCGGCGGCGGGCGGCGGGGGCGGGCGGCACAGCTACGGCGGTAAAAGCGCGGAGCCGTCGCGGAGCGGCAGCAGCCGCGGCGCTGAGTCCAGAGCGGCGGTTGCGGCCCAGTCGTCCTCCTCGTCCGAGACGGGCGGCGGCGGCGGGGAGTACAAGACGCTGAAGATCAGCGAGCTGGGCTCTGCTTTGAGCGACGAGGCGGTGGAGGACGGGCTGTTCCACGAGTTCAAGCGTTTCGGCGACGTGAGCGTTAAAATCAGCCGCCTCCCGCCCGGCACCGGCGCTGCTGATGAACGCGTGGCTTTCGTCAACTTCCGCCGGCCCGAGGATGCCCGAGCCGCCAAACACGCCCGCGGCCGCCTCGTGCTGTACGACCGCCCGCTGAAAATCGAGGCCGTCTACGTGGGGAGCGGCGGCGGGAGCAGCCGGAGGCGGAGCAGCCGGTCGCCGGCGCTGCTGGATAAGGAATCTCCCTATGGAACGACTGCCGTGGGGTTGGCGGCGGCGGCGGCGGCTGTACGGCATCCTGCAGCCGGGGCGACGCAGCGGGCTTTGTCCCCCGCCGGCAGCGGTGGGGCTTTGGGTTATCGGGACTACAGGCTGCAGCAGCTCGCCTTGGGCCGCCTGCCGCCTCCGCCCCCTCTGCCCAGGGAGTTGGAGAGGGAGAGGGACTATGGGGGTTTTTATGAAGCGCGAGTGCGGCCGGCCTACGGGCTGGAACGGGTGGCCAGTGTGGCGGCTGCTGGGGGATTCCGTGGAGGAGGAGGTGGTGCTGGAGCTGCTGGCGAGGAGGAGATCAGCCCCGAGGATGACCAGAGAGCCAACCGCACGTTGTTCCTGGGCAACCTGGACATCACCGTGAGCGAGACAGATTTACGCCGAGCTTTTGACCGTTTTGGGGTCATTACTGAGGTGGACATCAAAAGGCCGGGGCGCGGGCAGACCAGCACTTATGGTTTTCTTAAATTTGAAAATCTGGACATGGCGCACCGGGCCAAGCTGGCCATGTCAGGAAAGGTGCTCTTGCGCAACCCTATCAAGATCGGGTATGGTAAAGCCACTCCAACCACCAGGCTCTGGGTGGGTGGTCTCGGGCCCTGGGTGCCCCTTGCCGCCCTGGCCAGGGAATTTGATCGTTTTGGCACCATTCGTACCATTGATTACCGCAAAGGTGATTCGTGGGCCTACATCCAGTACGAGAGCTTGGACGCGGCGCAGGCGGCGTGCACCCACATGCGTGGCTTTCCCTTGGGTGGGCCGGACCGCCGCCTCCGCGTAGACTTTGCGGATACCGAGCATCGGTACCAGCAGCCCTACCTGCAGCCCTTGCCTTTGCCACCTCCTGCTCATTACGAGCTCGTGGCAGAGGCGGCTGCTTTTGGGGCTCACCGGGGAGCCCCGCCCGATCCGCTTCGGGGGGCCCGGGACAGGACGCCACCGTTACTCTATAGAGACCGTGACAGAGACCTTTATCCCGAGACAGAGTGGGTGCCACCCCCACCCCCTGTACGGGACAGGAGTAACCGAGCAGCTGCCTACGACCCGTTGGAAAGCCTAGAACGCCGTCGGGATGGTTGGTCCTTGGAGCGGGACCGAGGGGAGCGGGAGTTGGGCAGTAGTAGGGATCAGCCTAGGAAAAGGAGGCTGGCCGAGGACGGAGGCCGGCACTTGGACCGCTCTCCGGACAGCGAGCGCTCCTCTTCCTCTCGGAAGCGTCACTGCTTGACCACGACCACACCGCCAGACCGCAGCCCCGAGCTCGTCGGAGGGAGGGAGCGTTACAGCAGCGACCCGGAGCGCTCATCGTCCCGCTTGCTCCTCTTGGAGCGGCCCTCTCCCATCCGGGAGTCACGGAGGGGCAGCTTGGAGAGGAGTCAGAATGAAAAGCGTGACCGAAAGAATTCCGCTGAAAGGGAGCGGAAACATCGCACTTCTGCAGCAGCTGCTGCACAGGAGTGCAAAAGCCCGGCCAAAAAGGATGAACGTGCTGCGGAGGGAGGCGGTGGAGGCTCTCGCCTCAAACCTCCACCTCAGAAACAGCAGCAGGACGGAGCGTCGCAGGCTGGGGGAGCCCCCAAGCTGTGCTTGGCGTGGCAAGGGATGCTTCTGCTGAAGAACAGCAATTTCCCGTCCAATATGCATCTGCTTCAGGGGGACCTCGGAGTTGCCAGCAGTCTCCTTGTGGAGGGAGCGACTGGTGGGAAAGTAGCTCAGCTCAAGATCACCCAACGTCTTCGTCTGGACCAGCCCAAGCTGGATGAGGTGAACCGCCGCATCAAGGTGGCTGGTCCCAATGGCTATGCCATCCTTTTGGCCGTGCCTGGCACATCAGACAACCGCTCCGCAGCCGGGGCTGGCGAGGCCACCACCTCCACCCAGAGGCCGCTCAGGAATCTGGTCTCTTATCTAAAGCAAAAGCAGGCTGCTGGGGTGATCAGCCTCCCTGTGGGGGGCAACAAAGACAAGGAGAACAGCGGGGTCCTGCACGCCTTTCCACCCTGCGACTTCTCCCAGCAGTTCCTGGACTCCACGGCCAAGGCGCTGGCCAAATCAGAGGACGACTATCTGGTCATGATCATCGTCCGTGGGGCATCCTAAGGCCCTCGTGTGCTCTGTACCCAACCCTGCCTACTCCTCCACACAGCCCCTCCAGCGTGTGCCAGGTGCTATGGGATACAGCCTTAGCCAGCCCTGTCGTTATTTTAAATTAGATCTTTGTTTGTAGGTGACTTTCCTTGCCCATGTTTTTTTTTTTTTTTTTTTTTTTTTTTCTGTTACTGCATTTTTCTATAAAGTTAGAAAGCCAGAAAGGTTGGTTAGCCATTAGCGTGAGTAGGATGTTTGGAGAATCCCTTATCCGTGGGGATAGCAGGGAGGCTCGGCCTGCTTTGATTTATGAAAAAAAGAAAAAAAAAAAAGAAAAAAAAAAACCCACAACAAAAGACTTGGGGAAGGGGTGGGGGGGGGGGGGGGAGGGAAGGACAAACTCCCATCTTCCTCGTTTTGATTCGCGTCCTTTTTTCATTTCATGTATTTTTAAAGCAAGTTGGACAGCTCATCCTTAGAGTTCCAAACCGAAAAAGACCAGATTTAAAGCACTCAGTAGTTTGAATGGAAAAACCACATCCCTGCTAAATGCAGACTGGTGTCAACTGTTCTTTTTGAGTCGTGGTTGTGCTGTGATGGCCTCAGGCCCACATCATCCCCTTCCTCAGGAGCCTGAAGGGTTTCCCTTTGAGTCCTATGGCTCGAGGTCGATGTCCTTCAGGTGACCAGCACCTGCTCTTGGGTACACTGCAGAACATGAGTTCCTTTATTGGGTGTTTGATTCATCTGGCCCCACAGAATGCATGCACTGAAAGTATGCTTTTTTTTTTTTTTGGTTGGTTTTCTTAAAAAAAAAAAACAAAACAACAGGTGTATTTCTCCTATTTCTCTCAGTTCTGTTGTATCCCATATATGCACTTTGGGTTTGTAGCAGTGACAATGTTTGGTAAATAGCTGAGGACTTTGTTACAAACCATGAATGTCTTGTGCTTACTCTGGTATGCAAGAAAACAAGGAGGTGCTTTAAGAATATCTTGTGGTTTTTTTGTTTTTACTGCCTTTTTCAAAGAGTTGCAGGTACAGTGGGGGCTGCTTCCACAGTGCAAACTCTGAGCAAGTGTGCTTCTCTCCAGAGATGGTTTTAATTCTGTAATAATTTAATTACCTAAAAGTTCTCATGATCCTTTTACCTCTTTGTTAATAGCAAGGAACTGCTGTCTGCTAGGAACTTTTCAGGTACAGTACAGTGGGCATTACATGAGGTTTATCATTCTGCAGGCATCTGGAGTAAAGTGTTCATAGCATCTTGGAGAAGCACTCCAGGGTGCTGAGGTGGGATGAAACAGTTTGCCTTGAATTTTTTTTTTTCCAAAGAACTTTGCTCATTTTCTCATTCATTTTCCCCTCATTGGGCACTTTCCTCCAGCTGTCACACTTTGCTCATACAGCATTGATGAGGGGGGAAAAAGGCATCCGAATCCCCGTTGTTTCAGTTAGCAGCTGGAGGGATGCTGTCTCTGGCTTCTGAGCTGAAGGGTGACTCTGACTGTATTGATATACAGGCCCTAAAATGTAATCTTGCACTTAAAACCAGAATGTAGCCTTGCACTTAGCCACATTTTCAGAGACAGGCAATGTAAACGCAGCACTGCTTCTCTCAGTTGTCCTCCAATGGGTGATTGGTGCAGGTTGATCTCAACTTCCACCACACAAAAACCCCGTTCCAAGCGTGGGGATGGGTTGCCAGTAGTATTTATGAAGGAGGAGATGTGTTGAATGTATATTGCATGGGCACAGCAGTTGTGTCGTCGTGTGCTCGGGGTTTGTGTCGCAGAGGTGCGTTTCTGTAGGACCTCTTTCTGGAGCAGCTTTCAGTGGGGTTGGATTTCCCATTCCTGGCCTGAAGGAGCAGTGCTGCGTCCCGAGCATCGCTGGGAGCTGAGAACTTGAATGTGGCAGCATAACTTGAAAGCAAATTTTGGTTTTAGAGCCGCTTTTTCTTTCTAAAAGCCTCATTTAATGCTCTTAAGTGTTTGAGGGCGAAATCCGGGCTTCCAGGATTCTTGTCCTTCAATGTGAATGTAATAGATTGCAGAAATCAGCTGTTCATCTTACTATTAACAAGGAGAATCCCTCGGAATGACACCAACAATGCAGATAACGATGTGTTAGGAGATGATATGGCATATTTACCACTTCCTGCACAGAATGTCTGTTTTAATTCTCGCGGGTGTCTGTTGTGTGTTGGCATGCAATCAGCACTGCTGCTGACTTGCCTTTCCGTGCTCCTTGCATTTTGGGGTGAGTTTTCCCACGAATCTGAACCGGGAAGCAGAGTTTGAAGGGAAAGAAACTTGAACTGCTGGGAATTCCAATCTGCCCAAGGCCCAAAAGAAGCACTGATGTTACCACGTCCAACTGACGCTTGCTGAGCACGGTGGTTCTTAAGGCTGACACCCAACGGGCACCTGTGGTTGTTTTAAAGCCTGTAAAACTTGGGGTCAACACAGCTTGTCCACGTGTCAGAGCAAACTGTGGGTGAGGAGCTGAGGCAGCGTGGGATGCCTTTGTCCCTGCTAAATAGCAGTGGTTGTACTTTGATGGGTCGAAGCCGCGCTGCGCTGGAGGGCAGCAGGGAGCAGGGCAGGCTGTGTTTGACTCCAAGTTTTCTGCTTTCTTATGGAACGGAGTACCTGCTTCTTTAAATCTGGTTTCTTTGTGGTTGCTGCTCTGTTTTGTAAGCAAGGATTTTAACACCCTTTGAGGGTAATTAATGTCCAAACCTAATTGACTGGCAACGTTTTGTTTTGCCGGCACTTAGTCGCGTGCTGCCATTGAGTCTGGCACGGCGTTGGCTGTGCTTTCCCTTGGGCCCCAAAGCGTGCACCATTGGAGTAACTGTCCTCTGAAAGTCATCTTGGCCAGGGCTGACCGCGTGTAGAAGTCCGTATGTGATACCACTTCTGTCTAGAGCAGAACAGATGTAGCAGACTTCAGCTCTCTAATCATATTTGGCATTATGTCGCTCAAGCAGGAGCTCAGTATTCCTTCTGACGTCGTGTGCAGCCAGTGTTCCTTGTTGAATTACTGTGGAAAAAGGATGTCCTTTTCCTGAATCATTTTGTATTAGCTGTGCTTTATGCTTTGGGGAAAGAACCTCAAATGACTCATACTTTCGTTTAAGATTTTAGTAGGGTTGGGTTTTTTTTGGGTTTGTTTTTTTTTTTAATTGGAAACTTTACGCAACTTCCTTGGCTGCTGGCCAGTGGCTTTGTTTGCTCCAGCCTGGTGCTTGGTCTGCTGCTGCCTGTTACCATCAGCTCTGCGGGTGGAGGGTTCTGGGTTACGAGTCCCAGAGGATCCTTTTAAACATTGCAGAGGGAGAAGGGATTTACATGCCAGGCAAATCTTAACCTTCTCCATTGAAGTGTATGGATGTTGAAGGAATGATTTGGTGACCCTACGGAGGGCACGGAGGAGAGCTTGGGGTGTCTTGCATTGTTGCAGAGCCATCGAGCTGATGGTAACTGAGGTGAAAGGCCTTAAGTATTAACGTGGAGGAGGAGTGAATGAAAATTGTGAAGACAGGTTCAAAAAAACTCTGAGGACTCAGGGAAAATGGCTTGGAAATACTCAGTTCCGGGCTTTATGTAAACAGTGGTGAGGGCAGTGCTCCTGTGGAGCCTCTTGCACGCCTGTTGAACAGAAACAAGAGTGGAGAAAATTGCTGCCATGCATAATACAGAGTTTTTGGGGTTCTTTCCCCCTTGTCTGCCCATTTTCTATGGACTTTCTGCAGATTGTGCTGAAGGACAGGTATTCCAATGAGTTCTAACCTGAATGCTTGGATGGTTTTTGTATTATTAGGCTGAAAGCAGAGCGTATTGTTGAGAATGGTTAACCAAACCCACACCTGCAGTTCTGGTTGTGTGCAAATGATGGGTGAGAAACACAACTTGAATAGCATCGACTTTAAATCCTATGGGATGCATCTTTGCTTTGCCCTCTCCTTTAACGTCGTTAGAGTGACACGGGAGAGCTGAGAGCATGAGAGAGCCTTGTGAGCACTACGTGTCATACTTCTGTTGATGTGTTGCCTTCAGGAGATGCTCTTTGAGGAAAGCCAACTCCATTGGCATCACTTGGGTTGGTTTTTCTCGCGGGTGATCCTTCTGATTTGTCATGGTGGCTGTTAATGGATTCAGAGTTGTGACCATTGATGCTGTAAACCTGGTTTAACCTCGGTCCAAAACCAAACCCTGTGCTGCTCGTTGTGCTTCTATAGATGGAAGGTGACTTCATGCAAGGTTTCATGCCCTCGGGTGGTGTTGGTGCTCTTTGAAGTCTGGGTAGAATATTCAGGAAGGCTTTGTCATTCTGTATAATGTAAGGAGGGGGAAATCTGTTGTATGCATTTGTATGGAATAACGTTTTCTTTCCTCCTGCAAGCAAAGCTGGCGGACTGCAGAGGACAACCACATGGGATACCGAGCTCTAATGGACCTTTGGGAAGAGAAGCTGTGGCTTGAGTGGAATTTACATGGGCCTCTTGATGGAAGAAAGCTTATCTGTTTAGTATTTGTGCATTTTACTAAAAATGGCAGCTTTAAAAAACAAACAAACAAACAAAAAAAAGTTGTGTATCTGCTATTGTGATGCCAATGGCCGTGTTTTAAGTGGAAAAAAAAAAAAAAAAAAAATGACCTCTTTGCTTTGTGCTGTGTACACAAGATTGCTGGAAAAGTAAAGGAATACCCTTTTTATGGCTCACACAGCTTCCCGTAGCTGTCACTCAAACATGCGCTCACAGTTGAGCTGATTTTGTTTCATTCTAAATAAATTGTTTCTTTTGAGGAAAAATGGTTTTTCTGCCTGGGAGTGAATTGACAACAAACGTTTGACCCCTTTGTTTGCAGCTGAGGGGTTCTTTGCTGCTGCTGCTGCTCGGTGGCTGAGCCGACGGTTGCGGCTCTTGCGCAAAGAAGCGGGGAGAACGGAGCTTTTGCATTGACCAGCGTGTTTTACCTGCTTGGAAGGACCCAGCATCACCCTTTGGTTTGGCAGCACTGGGGTTCGTTTGCTGCTTCAGTCCTCATCCGTACGAGGAAGCGGTGCTGATGCTGGCATGCAAGGAGCAGGGGAGCAGCGCCCTGCACAGAACGGTGCCCAAGGCCGGGGCTTCGAAGAACCGGAATTACTGAATGTTGTGTTTCTGATTGGTTTCGTTCAACTCTGCTTGTTTTTGGGCTTTTAGTTTCCATTTTGATTTTCATTTTGATTTTTTTTTTTTTAAATTATTATTTTTTTCTTTTTTAAATTATTATCATTATTATTTTTTTTTTTTTAAGTTCGAAGAGAGGAGGAGGAAAAAAAAAAAAAGCTTGAGAGCGCGTTGAAATCTTGCACGTAAAACCTTTGCAGCAGCAAAAAAAAACCAAAAAAAATGAAAACCAAACCCAAAACAAGGCGTTAAAACGTGTTTAGATGCCGTTAATAAAAGCCTGTCCTGCCACACGTTGAGCTGCTCCTCCACCTCCGGGCCCTTTGCCAGCCGTCCCTTTGCAGCAGTCGCATCCCTTTTGCAGCAGTTATGGGTGTAGTTTCCGAACGGACGACGAGTTGGTGTTGGTTAATTTATAAACCTTTGCGTTGGTGTTCAGTGCTGGTTTGTTTTTTATTATTTTTTTTTTGGAGCCCACCCCACCTGCCTCGGATGTGCATGCGCCCTGATCGCGTCCCAGGTACGACTGCGCGTTTGCTTGTGGTTGAGCACGCTGTGCAGTGCAATGGTGACAGGAGGATGGAGGCGGCCCGTCGTGTTTGGCTGCTGTTGTTCTGCCTTTTCCCCCGCTCGAAGCTCTGCGGTGACTTCGGGGCACAGTTTGACCGTCGTTGGGATGAAGAGGAAGCTGACACTTGCTGCATCGTCGGCTTCGGAAACCTCTGGTGTGGTGTTAGAATGAACGTGACTCGCAGATGAAGACGCCTTGAAACGCAAGCTTGCCCTGATTTTGCTTTGCCATCCTTTTCACCTGCCGTGGATAACCAACCTGGTGCTGTCCTGTGGCCGTACAGGAGGGCTGCAGGGCCTCCCAGCTGAAGGATGCTGTTCCCGGGGCACAGAGCTGTGTAAATCCCCAAAAACAGGTAAGGGGGCTGTCGAGAGCTTGGACTGAATTGTAATGTAAAAAGAGATGGTTTTGTTGTTTGCCTGTTGGTTTTTTGCTTCTCCAGCCTCGGGTGTCTACTCGCTTGTACTAACGGGCTTTGCTCAGTGCTGGGATGAGCCCCATGTTTGCTTTGGGGTTCTCCTATTTGATGCCTTGAGGTTTCCATGCCCACAGGATGGGTTTTCGGTGTGGGAAAGCAGAGCTGATGTTTTGGCTTTGTGAGCTGACTCACCCAAGGGCACAGCCTTTAATTGGGGTAATTGCAATATGGAGCTGTGTGTGCTTATGGGATGCTGGTATGGGTGTCTACATGAATCTGTTGTCAATGAGAGCATTTGGAGGTATCACCAAGGAGGTTTCCAATCTTGGTGAGAGTCCTGAGCTGAGGTTTTCTTCCAGCAGTTGGTGTTTGTAGTTAAAATTCGTCTTTTGAAAATGAGTGTGTATGGCATTTGGGCTGTGAGCTGTGCTGTGACCAAAGCTTTGCACACCTCCAGCTGTGCCCATCCTCCTGTTCTGCTGCTGGTTGTCGTGCTCCTTTTCCCATCCTGTGTTTGGAGGTCCTACGGGGCAGCTCTGCAGTGTTGGTTGCTCATACAGGGCTGCTGCAGCTGCCAGGTGGACCGTGGCTTTCGTTAAGTGCTCAATGTGCATGGTGTTAATTTGGCTAATGAGACTTGAGGCAGGCAATCAGGGGAAAGTGGATTTGTAAAGAGAACCTTTTAATGAAGTGCACTGCAGCAGGAAGAGATGGGAGCAGATTCGATGGGGCAGCAGCTCCTCGGATTCACACCTCTTTATTTTTTTTCCCCAAATTGTGCTTTTCCCAGCCGCAGCAGAATTAATCACTTTAAAACATCAGATGGCCCAGCTCCTGCTCTGGGCTGATAACGAGCTCGCTTTGCAGTGAAATGCCAAATGCTCTCTGAGGATCTGCTCTTGCCACGTGTCTGCCCTCGCAGAAGGGAAAGGAGTGGGAAGCGTTGTGGTTCTGGGTTGGCTGCAGGGCCGTGCTCACCTCCAGCTGCTTTGGGGATGGGGAGATGGGGCTGTGGAGGGTGAGGATGGTCAGCTGTGCTCTGCTGTGAGCAGTGCTGGCAGCAGAGGGTGAGGGTGAGGTGGAAAAACCCTCTTCCACTTTGCAAATCCTTCGTATCCCATTCCGGCATGGCGTTAATTGCGGTAGGGCTGTGCTGGTGCTGAGCTCCAGGTTAATTGTGGGTGATGGATATTTCATCTCCTCGTTTCCCTGCCTTGACCTTCATACCTAGCTCTGCAATCGGATCTGAAGATCAGCCCGTAGCTTTTCAGCTGGCTCCAGTATTTCCTGTCCCCAGACACAGGGGAAGGATCGGGCTGACTGTCAGCAACGCGTCCTGCCCTGTGCTGGCACCTTTCCCTGCACTGCAATGGGTTTGGTGAGGAGCAGCTCCTCCTGCATGACACCACTGTGTTTTGAGAACTGCAGAACTAAGAGCCCTGGGGGCACAGGCAGGGAGCTGCTGTTCCCGTGGCCGTGCAGCCCCAATGCTGTGTGTGACCACAGCCCTGCAATGCTTGGGCTCTTGGTGCTGCTCCTCTCCCTGCTCCCTGTTTCTCTCCCTAAGGCAATAAGAGCAGTGCAGACACGTTCCCAGCTGTCACAGGGCTGGTGACAAATACCTTTGCTCTTCCTCATGGCCTTTGCTTCCTCTTCTAGGGTTTCCTTCCCTTGCTTGACTTGAAGGCTCGAGGGCTCAGGGTGGGTCCTATGGAGCACTGGGTGTGCAGGCAGCTCCCAGCCCTATTTCACCCATGTGAGAGATATCCACAGGGGAGGGTGCTCAGAAGCTCAGGAGCCAAAGTCTGCATCACTCCAGCGTGGGGACTTTGGCCCGTTAATTACTTCCGAAATTGCTGGTGGGCAGGGATGTGAGTTGCTGGCTTTTGAGGTTACTGCAGGCTGGAAGGCTTTTCAGCGAGCGTTGGGCTCTGTAAGCTTACCCAAAGCTAGAACTTACTTTATCAAACATGTCTTTTTTTTTTTTTTTTTTTTTTTTCCTTCTTCTCTTTGGTTTCCATCAGGGCAGCTGATGAATTCCCATCACCCTCAGTGAAAGCAGCTCTCCTGAACTTAAAGGCAGCTTTCCCGGGTGTGAGAGAGGAATTGAAGCAGCGGGAGGCTTGGTTTGTTCTTGCTGTGAAAGTGGGCTGTGTTGGAAGTGGACCTGGGGGGAGAGTTGCACGATGCTCTTTGAAAACAGCAGCATTTGAGGTGTTGAATATCAGAGGATCGCAGCACGGGGGAGGGTGGGATGGAAGGAGCCCACGACCCCCAGCCACTGTTGCATAAACTGATTCCCACGTGCACAAAGGGTTCATGCAGAGTGCTTTCTGATGCCATCTCCGATTGCAGCTGCATCCCAGCAGCTTCCTTCTCCCAGCTCCTGCAGAGCCCTCAGGGCAGGCTGGGGTCTGTGGGTGCTGCAGCTCTCTGGGGGCAGATCACTGAGTGATGGCAGTGCAGCAGTTTCCCCCTGGAGGCAGTTTCACTGATGACCTTTTGCTGCACCTTTTGCGAAGGACTTCGGCACCTGCTTCCTCAGCTCTGCTGTGAATTTTACAGCTAGATTCCTATGGCACTTGCTTTGCCCCAGCAGAGCTCGCTGTGCAGGGCTGCCTTTAGGAAGCTCTTTGTAAGAGGGCTTCAGTGGGATAGAGGATCTTCCTCTGGGCTGATGTTCCCATGGTTGCTCTGATGTGTGCGTTGCGCGTGAATGGATAAATGAATGGCTCTGCTCCTCAGCCATGCAAGGAAAAACTAAAGCATCTGTTCTGTGCTTGCTTCCTCAGCAAAAGGTTTGAGAGGAGAGGAGTGGATCTGCAAAGGTTGTCCTGAGCTGCAGCGAGGAAGGTTTGGAGCTGTGTGTAAGGACAGCGTGGGGCTCCTGAGCTTTTTGGATGGAGACGAGGAGGTGATCAGGGCACAAGAAAGGTACCCTGCCTATGCTGAGCCATTTCTGGGCTGCTGGTGTTCAGGCTGTGGGTTGGGTGCTGCAGGAAATGGGGAATTCAGAGCTGTTTGCAGAAGGGGGTGGGGGTGCAGGCATGGTGGAGACCCTCAGTTTTCCTAAATAAGGGTAAGGAAGCAGTGGTGTGTCACTGTGTTGGAGAGCATCTCTGCCCCCACGTCGCTCTGATTGTTGGGTCTTGCACCCCTGGGCAGTGGGAAGCAAAGCACGTGTGTTAGAGGTGCAGAATGAGACTGAAAGGTTGTTGGGTTTTGTTTTAATTTTTAAGCTCTTGGATTGGAAAGAGCACAAGGGGAGAGGATGGGAGAAGATGCTCCCCAAAAACCAGGAGGTGGGGACTGCTGCTGGAGATAAGATGGGGATGCATGCACCCTGTCCTGCTGTAGGTTGGTTCTCCATGGGGGAAAAAGGTGAAAATACAGCAGTGCTTGCTTGGGAGAGGTTAGAGCATGCAGTAGGTGGGTGCTACAAAGCAGGCAGAGAGGTCAGTGCAGTGGACTGAGGCTGTGGATCAGCTCCGTTTGCTGCATCTCATGATGCTGGGTAGCAGGAAGCACAGCACGTGTGTTTGAGGTGAAAAATGAGAGGGTTGTGGCTTTGTTTGAAGCTCCTGATTTGGAAAATCTGAAGCCAAATGTAGGCCACCACAGCCAGGACAGTTCCTATTGCAGCAGCAAAAGCGGCAGTCTTCATTTGTTCAGCAGGAACACGAATAGGAGCTTGAATATTTCAAGAAGTGAAAACTTAAATTTGCCAATGAAAGCTTAATCTCTGCTGCAGCTGTCAGCCTGATGCTCGGTGCAGGACTGGCTCACAACCAGTCACAGTGGTTCCACTCACCCCTCTTTATCCCTTAGTGCCTCATGTGGTCTGCTTCAGCCTTACAGCCCTGTTGCTCAGAAGCTGACCCACTGGAGATCCTCCCCCAGCCCCAAGGATGAGCTGGCACAGCTGAATCACGTGCTATAAAGGTGCAAAGGACAATTTCTAACGCAGGTGGATTTCTGCAGGAGATGGGCAGGTCTATGAAAAAGCAAAGCATTTCATACCACTGATATCCCCACTGACTGCAAATTCAAAGCTCTCATGTTTCCCTCACGATTTCTTTGGCATCACTTAGTTGTGTGCCTACTGAATTTGGCCCATTACCTGCGAGCCAACCTTCCTCCCTGCAGCTCCTCAACACCACTGCAGCTTCTTGTGCCATACAGAGCACTTCATTTGTGCTTGGAATCGCCCAAGTGATGTTCCTACAGGGGAACAACACTCCTCATCCATCCAAATGGAAGCTGTCAGCGTGGGGCCAACGTGTGGGGCTGAGGCTTTGTGGGTTCTGCTGCTTTGGGAAGAGGATCCTGATGGGTGGGTGTGATTCTGCCCTACTGTGCTCCTGGCTTTAAGGAGAGCGAGTTCAGCTCTGAGCCCTCTGCTGTGATCATTCATGCAGTGCCCAGCTGTTATTGCATCCCGTTGGAGGTTCAGATCTTCTCTCTGCTACCTATCCCTGTTCCTGCCTCCTTCCCTGCTGCTAATTAGCTGTATGAGAGTTAATAAGCTAAAGCTCCTGCTGTGCCTCAGCTCTTGGTGGATCCCAGCACCGGGGTGGGGGTGTAGGGCAGGAGCTCAGGGGTAGCCCATATTTCCAGCCCTGCCAAAGAACACTTCACACCGCATGTTTTGGTGGCTTTAATGACACATCTGGGTGTGCAGCATCTAACAATTCTTGCTTTGACATTGCAGGTCTGCGCTGGTAGACGTCTGGCTGCAACCAAAGCCAGTCCTTCCCGTGCTGCCCTGCAGGATGGCTTCACTCTGCATGGGAACGTGGACTTTCTGCAGCTTCCACCTCTGTGCCAGCGGCTCCAAGAAGAAGGAGACAGGAGAGAGCAGAGCACAGGCACCAGCAAAGAGGAACGAGCAGGCGTAAGTCTGCGTGGAGTCATACAGCCACCCTGCAGGAGAGGAGGTGGTTATTGAGGCTGTTGGGTTTTTCTCACTTTGGGGAGGTGTGTGGGAAGCAAGGGATGTGTGCTCTCATTTAAGAACGCCTCAGATATTTTCTGTAGGTTACCTTAACCCTTTGTGGCTGTGCAGCTGGCAATTGGTACAACAGACAAACTGCAGGGTGTTCTTGGGATCCCCTTGTAGTGGATGTGGGTTTGGATTGGGTTGCGTTTAATCCCCAACGTTTTTCTTTTTCCTTTTTAACCACAAGGGCCAGAAGTAGCTGCTGCAGCAGATGTGAGGTCCTGCTGGATAATGAGATGCTTTGCACGTGTTGGGCTTTGCAACATCTGCTCCTCAATCTCCGCGTTGCCCCAGGCATGCTGCCTTTTGAGCAGACCCAGTGCAGCAACCTGTCCAAAGTGAGAGATCCCAGACGAGGGGCTGCGAGCAAACTTGCTTAATAGTAGCTTTGCTGGCACTTGAAAGGAAAAGCTGAATTCCACAGAAACTCAGGAATCTGCAGAGGGGCGGGTCGCCTTTTAAAGTGACCTTGAAGCGTTTTGTTTGGTTATATCTATTTTCTGGACGTTCAAATTTAAGTGTTTGTATCATCTATGATCTGGGCCTTCCATTTAATTCCTCCTGCTTGAATCTCAAATATGCAAAGCAATAGGAGCTGCTGCTGCCTATCATAAATCCTGCAGTATATTCCCAAATCTGGCATCTGGATGTGTGGGGTGGGTGAGCAGCACAGTGACCAGCTGAGCTCAGAGCTGCTGCTCATGGAGCAGAATTCCTTGCATGACATCCACGGATTTACACCATTTACAGCAGCAGTTTGGGATCCAGATAGACCTGAAAACAACAGCAGCAGAGCCTTGTTCCCAGCATTACCTGTGGAATAGTGGGGAAGGAAGCAGTGCTGCTCAGTATGGGGCTGGGTGACCAAAAGGGACAGGTGCCAGTGCTTTCCTTGCTGGCATTTACAGAGTCATGGAGGGCTTTGGGGGAAGAAAGGAAGTCCTGCACCTGTGCCCTGTGGGCTGACCAGCTTTCAGTTTCAGTTATCCCATGCCTTTGCCAGATCTCAGCTGTGTTGTTTTTTCTTTTTCTCAGGGATATTGCTGGAGCCCAGGAGTGCCTTTCCAGAGGGCAGAGCCCAGGGAAACACAGTGGGAGGATGTGGCAATGTGCTCCCTGTGTGTTGTGCAGGATGGGCTGTCATCAGAGGTGGGGTCAGCTTCTGCTCTTTGAAGATCTATGGGATGCAGACCAGGGATGCTGACGTTGTCAACTGTACAACGTAGACATCCAGAGCAGAGCATTCCAGTTGTGAGAAGCTCAGACTCTTTTTATTATTATTTTTTTTTCAATCTTCCTGATCTTTCTAAATGCAGGATTTTTCTGGTTGTTTTTTAATATACAGAAGCTCTGCTTAGTGCTGAAGCCTCAGTGTCCCCTCCTGGCTGGCAGTGCCATGCAGGTGATGCTCTGAGCACAGCACATCTTTCAGAGCCTGCATGCCTCTCCCTGAGCAAGAAGGGCCAAATCCTGCTGCAGGGAGCTGAGTGCCTGCAATGCACAGCAGAACAGTGGTTCTGCAAGATGGTTGGGTTGTTGGAATTGCAGAGCTGCTCTGTCAGGGGCCTGGCACCTCTGGGTTTTGTTTGCTGCACGTTTCCTAACAGCAGTGCCTAGCACAAAGGCAGCCACGCTGGAGGTGAGAGCATTTAAATCCTTGTGCCAGTGCTGCTTTCAGATGATTCCTTCCTCTCCCACATTTGTTGGAGCTGGAGTTGCTGTGTGCTGGCTGCTGGAATCAGTTTTGTAATCTTGAATTACATCATTTGTTTAGTGATGGTTTTTCTTTTTTTTTCCCTTTTGCAGTTTGTTACTGATTTCTCCTCCTTAGGAAATAGGATGTACCTTCTCCTTGGCTCTCTTGTAGCTTGCCAAAATGATGTTTGTTCTGCCTTGTTCTGCTGATCAGGAGGGCAGGAGCACCCATCTGTGAGGAGCCTCAGCCCTGGCTTAAGGGCTTCCAGTTAAACAGATTTGCACGTAAGTCACCTCTTCATTGCACTGTGATCAGGCTTTGCTCCACTGTGCACAATAAGCATTTATAACCCGTGTCTCCCTCATGTTGTGGCTTTCACTGCAGAAACAATGCAAGCTGTGCTTCTGAGGTCAGCATTTCAGGGAGGTCAGCAGCAGAGGGATGCACTGAGCCCCCCAAGATCTTAGGTAGCACTTCAGTCCTGTTGTGTGCTGTGCAAGGAGCAGCTGCTGTTGGAAACAGGGAGTTAGCAGCTGGTCCCAGTTGGTTTTCATGTTTCATACAGCAGTGTTGGAGCACTGCAGTAGAAAGCATAGGAAAACTACAGCAAAAGGAAAACTATGGTGTGCCACAAACCTAGATCCCGAGCTGTGACTCGTTTCCCTCTCACTCTGCTTGCAGTGAGGTGGATCAGTGTGACTCCTTGGCTTTGCTGGGCCTTGATTTATCCCATCTGGATGAAGAAGGCTGCTCTCTGTATGGGGCTTCTCGCAGGAAACCTGCTTGCTTTATGAAACCCAGACCCATCCTCGCATCGTCAGGAAGCAGAAGGCTTCCAATTAGCGAAAATAGATTGGAAGCAGAGGGAAGCATAACCACTGCATGATGCATGGATGAAGGAGAGCCAACTTATTTAGCTCTTTTCACACCGTATGTTATTCTGTCAGAAAATTTACTGCGCTGGTTTTGCAGGTATTGCTTTCTGCTGGATGTACATCTTGTATCAGCAGAAGAGATCTTCTCCAGCACGGGCTATGGATCACTGTGACAGTGTAAAGCATGCTGTCAATGAAACACTTTAGCTGCTCCAAATTGCATCCATACCCAGAGTTTGGCCAACCTAGAGATATTGATTAGGGAAATCAATCTTTCTCATGCCTGCAGCATGGCAGGGCTGCTAGAATTCTGCAGCATGGAGGTGGTATCACAGAGCACTGATGCAGGGTTGTCTTCCTTCAGTCCCTCTGTCTCTGGTTCAGTATTAACAGTGCCCTGATAGTGGTCAGACCCAATGGTATTGAGGTTGGTGCTGCTGTGCTGTGGGTGCTGACCTCCTTTCCCATGCAGCTGTCACACATTCATGAGCAAAACTATTTCCTGTGCACAAAGCTGATGTTCTCAAATGTGTTCTTTGTGTTTTATCTGCTTGGACAGAAAAGCCATCCATGGATGTGTACGGGTAGGAGGCTGATCCAGAAGAAGGTTTTACTACTGGATGCTGGTGGTGGGTATGTGAGATGTGTGAAGTTTACATTACCTGCTAGAGGAGGTCCACCAACAGCTGCTATCCCAGCAAAGAAGGAAGCAAAGCCCAAATAGCTGTGGAGTTTTTGCACGCCGACCAGGTCTACCTGTTGGTGTAAATGCAGGTAAGTATCCGGAGGGTTCGTGGGAAGCACGGGAGCCCTTTTGTGGAGAATTCATCTCTGGATGCTGTGGGGTTTGGGGAGGACTTTGCACCTCCGGGTCTGACTCAGCCTGGAACCTGCTCGCCTCCCAAAGGTCGGCGCTGAAATTACAGCCTGCAAAATGCACTTCTGTCTTCCCACCGTTTGGGCACAGCCTGGGAGGGCAGGCCAAGCTGGCGATGATGTTTCCCTATCCAGATCCCACTGTACCCATTCTGTGTGTGTTACAGACAGCCCAAGGGTTGGGAGCACGCTTACAAGCCTTTGGCTTTGCGTTACAGGTAGTCAATGAACGGATTCATTCTGCTTCCTATGAGCTTTTAGAAAGGAGGATGTGGAAAGCAATTCAAGAAGCTCCCAGTTCTGCTGCTGCATCCCATTGACAGGGCTGGGCAGGCTGGAACCCTGCCAAAGGGATTTGGGGGCAGATCAATGAGATCCCTCTCATTGCAGCCCACGAGAGCAAGCCAGGGCTCTTCAGCCTCACAAAAAGATTGTTACGTATTTTACCTTTCTATTTTGTTGCATATTATATTCCATTATATATATATATGTAACTGAAAAATGAAATATCCTCACCAGCACAGGGAGCACCAGAGCCAGGAATCCACCGCAGAAGATGGCGAAGGTGACAGCATAGGTCATGAGCAGAGGGAAGGTGGTGGCCAAGGGGCAGAGCAGGTTGGTGACACCGCAGAGCACCAGGTAAGCTGCATGGTAATGGTATTTTTTGGTCCAGTTCTGGTCTGCAATCCAACCTGAGAGCAGCTGGCTGCTCGTCTCGGTGATGCCTGCAGGAAGAGGTCACTGAGCCTCAGGGAAAGGTTTCTTACATAGATAGATATCTATATTTTTCCCAATTTTTTTGGTGCTTGTTTTCACATTTTCGGATGCGTTTGTGTAAAGTGAAGATCAGAGCAGTGGGGGCTGTCAGCTCGTCGTGCTGCATCCCTCCTGCTCTTAATTAAGGGCGGCAGATTAATTGCTGTGCGCTCCTCCTCAATTCCTTCACATTACCTCATTTCTACACATTGCACAGCGCTGTAGAAAGAAGATTTATTTTTATACAATAAAATATTTTATGATGACTGAGGCTGGGGCCGTTTTCTTGATTTGATGCAACTGTGGTGTTCATGTTGTGTTCACACAGCATTATTTCTTGGGGGGGTGGAGGGCAGCTTTTTCTTACCTCCCCCCCCAAGAAGTGAATGTGCCAAATCCAAATGCTCAGATCCAAATTCGTGGTGGCTTTCTTTTTTCTTTCTTTTTTTTTTTTTTTTTCCTTTTTTTCTCTAATCCTCCATGGTCAGACTGGAGGTTTTTGAATGCAGAAGTGCATTTCTGTGGCTTTTGTGGGTCTGAGCAGAGCAGGGACAGCTGGGAGGACAGGGCTCACACCTCGCAGCCTGAAAACTACATTTGTTTCCTGCAGAAGGGTTGGCTGAGAGAACCACCCACCATCTGAGAGCAGCTCTATACATGTGCAGCAAGCAATGCTATATATACAGAAGGGGGTAAGGGCTGTGAGCTCAGGCTCTTCCACAAGGATTTATTTTAGAACGCATCTCAGGAGCGTTTCTTGGCAAGATTTGTGTTGCATTGCCTGCCTATTCTGCAATTATAAATGTGTTTAAAAGATTCTCTTGCCTACCGGCCACTGAGATGAAGTAGGAGGCATCCATGCTGCTGATGCCCAACGTCCTGGCTCTGGCTACCAGGTGGAAGATGGGCACAAAGTAGGCCAGGTGGCTGAACAAGAAGGACCAGGTAAAAATGAAGAAGAGGGGATCCTTTAGGGGGGAGAAGTCGATGAGAGGCTGTGATTTCTCCTCTTTGAGCACAGGGAGGGATCTGCAGCTCTTCACGACCTCATTGATGGTTTCAGGGCAGCTGCTGGCAGTGGGGGCTTTTCCTGGTGCTGCTGTGGTTACTGCAGCAGTGCTGCAGGGCTCTGCAGGTGCCTCTGTGCTGGGAAGGTCCTGAGCACTGCGTGGCTGTGCTGCTCCATTGGTGGCTTCCTCGAGGTGTCCTGCGAGGGCTCCTGCTTCTCCTTTGGGTGCTGAGCTCCTGTCCTCATGGCTGGCTTTGGGACACGGGGGCAGCTGGGTGCGGACGGGGCGCAGCAGCATGCTGGAAGGCACGAGGTTCAGCATGATGCCACTGAAAATCAGGAGGGTGCCTGCAGCGAGGCAAAAAGGTGCTTTTTTAAAATGCATTTTGCTAGGAGAATGGGGGAGAAGGAAGAAAGGATGTAATTTGTTGTGGGTGTGAAGAAGGAGCCAGAGCGAGGAGGTGGAGGCGTCATGCAGGAGCTTTTATTATGGCTTTTCTAACTGGAAATCCCTTTCTCTATAACCCATGCAACAAGTTAGGAGCTTTGCTTTGCTTTCGTTCATTAGAAGTGCTGGACTTTCAAGGTGATGTAGCACAAGTCACGCTATCTATGCTGACTGACATATTTAATCATCATAGAATAACTACAGTTGGAAAAGACCTCCAAGATTATTCAGTCCAACCACCACCCCATCACACAGAGATGCTCCCAGAGAGGCAACGCCGTTCCTCCTGCCCTCCCCCTGAGCCCTGTGCTCACCCTGCCAGCCATAGGTGTCGATGAGCAGCTGTGTGAAGGGTGCAGTCAGGAAGGTGAGGCCCATCCCTGAGCGTGCAATGGCATTGGAGAAAGCCAGCCGGGTCCTGCAGCGCTTGGCCGTCATCACAGCTGCTGCCTGGTATAGGCAGCAGAACCCCATGCCTGGGTGCAAACACAAGGGGTCAGTGGCAAAGCTGGGCCATCCCGAGCTTATGGAAGTGAAAGCAGGGTTCTTCTTGCTGGCTGAGAAGAGGATTTTATGCGCAGTGTGGGTTTTTGACGCTTTTGCTATGGATGAAATAGGAGAGGGATCACAGCATGTGTTGGATGCAGGGAGGAAAGCAAAGTTGGTTTGGTCTGGCTTGTGTTGGATGTGGGATTTTGTGTTCCTGGGTGTGAACATTTGGGGTTTTATGCAGCATCCTGTAGAAAGGGGCTGGGGATGGGCAAGGGGCCGGGACAGCAGGGACACAGCCTGGTTTAAAGGAGCTGCCACTCACCCAGCAGGAGTCCCATGGAGACACAAAGGAATGGGACGCTGGTGGCCTGTGTGCTGAGCAGGCAGCCCCCACTGACCAGTCCAGCCCCGAGGATGGAGGTCGGCCGCTCTCCAATCCGCCTGCAGACCACAGCCACCAGTGGGGCTGCGTGGGAGAAGAGGCAGAGCTTGGTGCCCAAAGAGCCCAGATCCCCCTGACCCCCACCCTTCAGATATTGATTCCCCCTCAGCCTTCTCTTCCCAGGGTGAACAGCCCCAGGGCTCTCAGCTTTTCCACATCAGGAGTTGCTCCACCATCTCTGCAGCCCACCTCTGGGCTTTTTCCAGCAGTTCTATTGAGCTGAGGAGCCCAGCACTGCATGCAGCACTGCAAATAGGAGCCTCTCCAAGGCACAACACAAAGGAGAAGCACCTCACTCCCACTGCTGGCCAGTGTACCCCAGGGAACCATTGGCTTTGGCCACATGGGCACAAGTGCAGGCTCATGGTCAACTGTTGGCCAACCATTTGTCAACTATTGGTCAACCAGGAGCTCCAGGTCCTTCTGCACAGAGCTCCTTTCCAGCAGCTCAGCCTCAGACTGTGCTGATGGATGTAAAGCAGCTGTAGGTGAGGGACCTGCACCTGCAGCACCCTCAGGTGCAGTGCTCACCTCCTAGGAAGCGCAGTGAGGACATGATGGAGCCAATCCAGCTGACCTGCTCTGAGGAGCCTCCCACATCCTCTTGGAAAGCCACGAAGAAAATGCCAAAGGTTTTGAGCATTCCCATCACGAACACATTGACCTGTATCAGAGCAGGACGGGTGAGATGCTGCAGGGGTTGGATGTGCTCCCTCCTTCTGGGTAACATATTGCCTTTGGGACAAGTAAAGGAGTGTTGGGGAAATACCAGGAAGGTTCCTGTGTTGGGGTTGAATCTCACTTGACCCTGTGCAAAACTGGCTTTTCCTGAGCTACAGAACAAAACGACATCAGAGCTTTGCTTTGCTCTCTGATGAATTCATTTCTGAGCGGGTCTCAGTGGTTGCTCCCTTCCCAAAGGACAAAGGCCAGCCGGTGCCTCCTGGCCCAGGGCTGGGGTTAACCATTGCCAGCTATGGGAGGCAGCATCCTTGCTCTTTGCTCTGCCTGTCCTCCTGTGGCAAAGCACTCGCTGCCTCTGAGCCTTCCCCTAATTTTCTTGGATGGGATCAGACCATCCTGAGACTTCCCACACACCCCATATTCCAAAGGTTTGGTGTGAATTTGCGCTCTGCTTACCAGGAAGAAGTGCAGCACCGCTGCCCATGCCCACCCTCTGTCCGTGCCTTGGCTCCCATCTCCCATCACTGCTGGTGGCTCTGGCTTTCCTTCTTTCCTTTCCCCTGGGAATGAGAATTTGGGGTACATTAACTCCATGCTGTGGTTATCGGTGAAGATTCACCCAGGAGAACCCCTCTGCTCCTTCTCTGTGAAGGAGATGGGGAGCAGCACATTTTTAAGGACCGAAGATGCTCCCCATCGTTTTGTTCAGTCTCACAGTATCACCGCTTGCATGCAGCTCAGTTTTTTTTCTCCTTCCTAAATTGCTGAAGGCACAATAATTAAGCACTTTCCCTGCTGCTTTACAGCACAGGGTTGGGTTGGTTTGTGCTAAAAGCCAGGGCTCTGTCTGTCCCACCTTTGAGCTCCTGGGGAGGCTTTTCCTGCCCACTTTCTTCCCATCCACCCATCTATCTGTCCCATACTTCCAGCAGCAGCGGAGCCAACAAACCCAACCCCTTCCTTACCGCCTTGCTGCTGCATGCTGGCAAACCTTCCCCGAAGCTGCAGAATGCAAAGAGGAATCTTCTCGTCATTTGTTCCAGAAATGAACCCCCCCTTCCCCTCCTCCCTTCCCCTTTGCTCTGGTTTTGACCCTCTGCTCCCAGCCTGGCCCTGCGTCCGTCTCTGGCAGAGATGACGATCAACTTAAGTTAGGAGCCTTCCTCCTCCAGGCCAGGAGTCCCTCCCCTTCCCCGTCCGGGTCGATGGCAGAGCAGAATTCCTGCCTTGAGGAAACGGAGCCGCCTGCAGGGATCCAACAGAGCCTCCGTGTCCGGTTGCTGCCACTGATGGATGGAAGCCAAAGCTGTTGGCCCAGCCCAGCCCTTTGGTCCCAGGAGGAGGAGGTGAGCCAGCAGCAGGGCAGCAGTGCTGAAATGGGGTAATGCTGTGGGGTCGGGGTGGATGTCTGTCCCCATCCCTGCTTTACTCCCTCTTGCTGAGGGATTCCTGGGACAGAATTCTGGAAGCAGACATCGTGGGGCAAACAGACTGCATGGAGAATCTTCCCCTACAGTTGGGCTTTCAGCACATGCATTGAGCTTTTATTTATGTGGGACAGTGTTTGCTACGAGGGTTTGGGGTGCCCAGGGTGCAGGGTCTGAGGCCATCCCTGTGTTCCAGGTATCCAGCAGCCTTGATAATGAGGGCAGTGGACCCAGGGCTTGTTACTGGGTGAGCTGAGTGCCCCCTTCTGTGCTCACACCCCTTTAGTTTTGCTTTTTGAGGAGCCTGTGGCTCTGTTGGGTTAGGGCTATTTAAAATGGGTGTCTGCAAGCTCTTTTGAGATGAGCTTGGAAACTGAGCGTTAAAGAAAAGAAAGGGGAGGTAAATAATGGGAAAGGTGCAGCAGTGCTCACCTCCCAGAGCAGCCAGGCTGGAGGGAGAGCAGAGCCCCATCCCTGCTGCTGCAGGAGTCATTGGCACCAACCTCACCAGGAGAGTGCTGTGCAGAGCAGCCTGTCCCTAGAGCCTGCTTCATACAAAGCAGTGATGGTGAGATTGGGGATGTCACCAATGAGCGCAGCAGTAAAGCCTACATGGTGTGAATGCAGTTTTACCTCCAACCCTGCCCTATTTGTTGGTGTATGCTCTACTGCAAGCCAGCTCCTTCCTGCTCCCTTGTCCCGAGGAAGCATTTGAGCAAAGCAGCCTTTCAGGGGAAAAACCTCTCTGTGGGAATGTTCTCCTGCCCCATTCCAAATGCTTGAATCTCTCAAGTGAAGATTCCTGAGGATGTCATCAGCATATGTTTACAGTTCACACAAGGAGCAGGCAGGGCCACCAACTTTAGGTTTGAACTTCAATCCAAAGCATAATAATAAGCAAGCTGCTCTCACAGAAAGCTTAACTAGAGGAAGCTAAACATTTCCTAGGAGAAATTCTTAAAGAACTATTTGCACCTCTTCTACTAGAGGAACCTCCAAGCCTTGGTGCACTGCTCCTTTTCTCTACAGCAATGCTAATAAAGAACAGACTGGGAGAAGTCACCTCATTTGGCTTCAGGGAAAGCAACAGGCAACATTTTTCACAGTAGGATTAAAGAGAAGCAAAGGTTTTCGCAGGTCATTTATTGATTTCTCCAACAAATAAGGCCACACATGCACACACACACACACCTTGTAGTATCTATCATTACACAAGCTTGGTGAGTGACTCACATTTCATCTTTAACAGCGTGACTGCTAAAATGTGAGCTGGAAACCCTGATAGATGCATAGGAGCTGGTAAGTAGAGGGAGAGCTTTCAGCCCAGATTTGGTACTAGAAGCATGTTCTGCATTGGAACAGCTGAGGAGAGTGGTTGTCCAGTGAGGAGGAGCTGGTCTGGAGCATCAGGATGCCAGGGTCAGGATGCCAGCTTGTGCACTGCTACGGTGATGCTGTCATGCTTCTGGATCATGATATTCCTAGAACAAGGAAAGTGCTGTCTGAGGCAGGTGAGAAGCCAGCTGGGAGAGCAGCTGACTTGGCTGGAAAACCAGATGGACAGCTCTGTGCCAGACCTGTCAGTTGTTAGATCTCTTCACCATACCACAAAGGAGTCTGAAGAAGTCCTGCTAACCAAAACAACACTGCAGCATGGGCTAAATGATCCACAGGGATCCCAAAAGCAAAAGAAATACAGTGCTGCAGCAACCCACCAACCCCTGAAAGTCTTCCAGCTGCTTCTGCAGTTCCCACAACCCGAGACCCCACGAATCTGACTGCATTTCATACCCCCATTAGCGTCCGCCCTCCCAGCACAACTTCAGCAATGGGGCTTCCTCCAGGTCTGCCAGTTAAGTAGAAGACAGAGAGCGCTGCTCTGGAGATTTGGGGTGGGGAAGAAAGGTGAGCACAGGGAAGAGCAGCACCCTTGGGCTGGATGCTCACCCGCTATCTGACTCCAGGCACACCACAGGCGTGTCGGTTGGGTCGGAGGTGAGCTTGGCTGCCTGCTGGGCGAGCACAGAGATGACTCCAGCATGTTCATCTGAGAGAGTTCCTCGGCCTGTAAGAGGGGAGACCATGCATACTGTGATGAGAGTCAACCCATGATGCTGAGATGCTGAACCCATGCATACTGTGATGAGAGGCAGCTGCCCATCCCTGTTTCCTCAGCACTGTGAGCTGATGTAGCATCTTCCCAGATCAAAGAATCATTTGAGTTGGAAGGGACACGTAAAGGCCATCAGTCCAACCCCCTGCAGTGAACAGGGACGCCCACAGCTCTATCAGGTGCTCAGAGCCCCATCCCCCTGATTTCCACTGTTTCCAGGGACAGGGCACTCACATCTCTGGGCAACTTATGCCAGTGCTTCACTTTTCTGATTTGTATCCTAAAAATCTTCTTCGTTATATCCAACCTAAATCTTCCTTTAGTCTGAAACCAATTCCCCTTGTCCCATCACACAGATGCAACTAAAAAGCCTGTCCCCTTCTTTCTCATAGCCCCCCTTCAGTCACTTTCTGGGCTGTGAGGGCACACAACTGGCTTGTATTCAGCTGCCACCCACCACTGCCCCCAGGTCCTCATCCTCACATCCCCCACAGCAGGGCTGTGCTCATGCTCACATCCCCCACCCTGTGCTGCTAGCAGGGCTTGCCACAACCCAGCTGCAGAGCTGGCACTTGGACTTGTTACCTCTCATGAGGTTCTCCTGGGCCAACTGCTCAGCCTGCCCAGGTCTCTCTGAAAGAGATCTCACCCCATAGGTGTATAAACCGCAGCCCTCAAACCACACACACACACACAAAAAAACCCCAATTTGAAGTAATGGGAAGAGCAGGCTGAGGTTTAGAACCGTGCAATGTCCCAAGCTGGAAGGGGGCCACGAGGATTATCCAGGTCAAACTCACGGCTCCATCCGGCACCACCTGAACGCGGTGTAACCCGTGGGAGGTGCGGGGGGTCCCGGGGGACCACGTGGGGTCCCTGTGGGCTACATAGGGGTCCCCAGGCCGCCCCCATAGTGCAGACCCGGCCCGGCGGCGTCCCGCTACTCACATCCCAGGTTGAGGCCTTGCGAGTCGGTGCAGAGGACGCCCACCACAGCCGGGCTCTTCATGCTGCGGGAGAAACAGCGGTGAGCGCCGGACAGCCCCGCACTCCGCCCGGCCCCTCTCAGCCCCCAGCCGCTGCCCTCCCAGCCCCCCGGCCCTGCCCTCCCCTCCCCTCCCCTCGGCCCCCCGCCCCCATCTCCCCCCTACGTGTCCTCCAGGTGCTGCTCCAGGGTTCCCTCCATGCCGCCGGGCCCCGCGCCCTCCACTTCCGCCCTTTTAGGCGGCTTCTGGCAGCTGCGTCGGTCACGTGACGCGCGCCTACGGTGGCTCCGCGGGGCCAAAAAGCGAATCTCGCGCATGGGAAACTCCCTGCTCAGCACCGATCGTTGCCCTCTCAGCCTTCTCCTGTCCAGCCCCAGTCCTCTCAGCGTTTTCCTGTCAGGAGATGCTCCAGGCTCCACCATCTCTGCTGGGCTCTCTCCAGCAGTTCTTTGTCTCATTTGAACTGGGGAACCCAGCACTGGGTGCAGTGCTCCAGATGGAGCCCCTCCAGGGCAGGGTGCAAGAGAGGAGCACCTCTCTCATCCCATTGGCCGTGCTTTTTGTAACACACCTCGGGGTACTATTGGTCTTCTTGGTCACAGAGGCACACGGCTGGCTTATGGTCAACTGTTGGTCAACTGTTGGTCAACCATCAGCCAGTTGTTGGTCAACCACTGGTCAACTGCTGGTCAACTGTTGGTCAACCATTGGCCAACCATTTGTCAACAATTAGCCAACCACTAGTCAATTCTTGGTCAACCATTAGTCAACCATTAGACAACTGTTGGTCAACCATTGGTCAACCATTAGTCAACCATTGGTCAACCATTAGTCAACCATTAGTCAACCACTTGTCAACTAGGACCTACAGCTACTTCTATTCAGAGCTCCTTTCCAGTAGGACCACTAAGTCCAACCCCCTCCACCCAACCCCTATGGTTTTGGGTACCCCTGCAGCTCAGGGCTGTGCCCACTGCCCTGGGGAACTGTGCCATGCCCACCACTCTCTGCTCAATCTTTTCCTAACACCCAGCCTGTCCTTCCCTTGACACATCTCCAAACCTTTCCTTGTCCCCAAAGAGTTGTGAGGGCCCCACACCCACTCCCACAGAGGGGCTGTAGTGGGGTATCACAGCTGTGCTTGCCCTGCTCTCCATGTGCAGGAGGTGATTGATGGCAGAGCCTGGCGACGCCTGCACTGAGCTGGCTGAAACGCATCCAGCTCACGCCTGGCAATGGATCTCAGCATGTCAGGTTGGAAAATTAAAATATTATTGATGGGGAAAGTGAAGTGCGGTGGTGATTTTTCTTAGCTTTATTTATCTTTTAATTTTTTTCCCTTCTTGATTGAGTTGGGAGTCATCACGAGTCACTCCAATCCCACTGCATCCCCCTGTGCTTGGTGTCCTGCCTGGCCCAGAGCCCTGTTTTGGGTTATTTTCACACTCCTGGGGACAGACACAGGAAAAAAGACACAGCTGTGCCCTACCAAAGTTGCATCCCCCTTCCCCACAGGGACCCCAAAATCACAGCTCGTTGTCCATTCCCTGCAGCAAAGCTTTAGGACTTCTGGAGGAGGAATTTCTGAGGACTGGGAGAAATTAATTCAAGACCAGGTGGAGACTTCAGCAAAGCAGGAGAACAGCTGCCACTTCAAAAGGAATGCTGGTCTTTGGAGGGGGAAATGGCCAGGCTATTTTTAGGCAATTAACTAGATAATTTAACACTGGACTGATGCTATGCAAGAGAAATTCTGCTGTCAGTGACAGCAGGGAGCAAAGCTGTTTGGCAGCCTAGATTCCAGGGGAATGGGACCTCAAAGTCCAGGGCTGGAGAAATTCCACTCATCAGGTCAAAATCATGAATAATCCTTTAATTATGGAGGAAAAAAACCCAGAGATTTACTTCCAGCCCTTGTGTAAAGGAGCATTGCCACCTCCTGGGCATGCATGGCTCTGGGCAGTGGGAATGAGCGTGGTCCTGGCCAAACCCAGGCTGGGCCATGGGAGCCCAGGGCAAGCAATGGCCATGGCTGTGTATTTACATGGATTCATAAAGCTTTCTCCACGCAGAGCTCTGTCCCTCACACCCTCCCACAATGTGTAAATAAAAGCAGATGCTGATGGTTCATCCTTTCCTGTTTTTAAGCCGCTCCAGCAATCCCTGCTCTTGTTTCCATGTGTTCCCAGCAGACACTCCGGATGGGGCACACACCTATGAACCACAAATCAAGGCATTTACACGCTGTATTCACATACAAACATGCTCTCATTAGCAAAAAATATATATTTGCTCCTTATTTTATTCTCCACAACCGAGTTTGTCTTTCTATGGGAGGGCCGTGCAATTGCATTTTGTGCTTTGCCATCCAGGATGGACCTTTCTTTCTATTTTCTTCCCGCTCCACAACTGCAAATTCTTGATTTGATTCTCAGCTACACCTGTCAGGGATAAATATGCACACGCCTGGGAAATCCAGCTGTGTTAGCCGAGCTGAGAAATAACCCTGGGAAATGGATGGGGGCGGGATGGCTGCTCCGTGAGTATTCCACCCCCCTTCCTCGGTGGGAAAAGAATATTTCTTTCCTACTATTAGCGATGCAGGTCTCATCTGCTTGCTCTGAGCTCATCGGGAGGGGAAAAAAAAACAAACAACCAACAACCCACCCAGGCTGGAGGGGAGGGCAGGGGGTATATAGGGCCAGGGTGCGGGTGGCGCGGGCAGACGGCACCATGCGACGGCTGCTGCAGACCCTCTGCCTGCTGCTGCTGCTGCCCTCACGCCATGGAGCTGTCATCACAGGGGTAAGTGCAGCTGCAGCCTCAGCACACTGGCACTCAGTATTTTGGGTCATTTTATGTTTGGGGTTTTTTTTTGGGGGGGGGAAATAGGGTGCCAGTGGTGCTCAGCACCCCTATGGGTTGATGTTGCGCTGCTTCTCTTGCTCTCTGGAGAGCTTTGGTGTTTGATTTGTGTTGGGGACCGCTGTGTTTTGCTGTATTTTGCTCCGTCTGCGTAAAGGTGGGGGGCTGAATTTGCTGTCCTGAGCTCAGCATGCTTTGAACTTGCCCTACAGTCTCCCACCTGCACGGGGTGAAGTCACGTTTGGTGTGAACCCAACTGCTTGCCTCTCCCACCCTTCCCTGTTTGCGCTGAGAAGACAAACACGAGGTGCTTGAACTCCAGCATTGCCTTTCCCTGTTTGCTTTGGGTCATTTTCTGCTTGGTTTTGCAATGTGTTGGTGCTGTTCCCTATCAATCCTGTTCCTTCTTCCCGTGCTGCTCTGAGCACACGTGAGTGTGAAGTCATCCCACAGGAGCGCAGCTTCTCCTTCTGTTTCTCCTCTAAGCATTGGACCCAGCATGCAGGGAAATGGGGGATTTAGGAACTTTTCCAACTGGGGAGAAAGATAGCTTGATGGGGAGAATGATCCTGAATTAGGCTGGGAACAGGGCAGGGCAGCCAAGCTGTGGTCTGTCACTGGTTTTTAGCATTATCTGGGGGCTAAGAGGGTTTTTGGGTGCTCAGGGAGAATTGGGTTGCTTTTGGGGTTTGAGCTGCAAGCCTCTCCCCTGTGCATCGCTCCTTTTCTGCAAGCACGTTGGATTTTCATCCTGCAAACCACCCCAAATCCAGGCTGCGCCACAAACCTCCCATCCCACCCCACAATGGATGAGCTGTGAGCATCCCCTACCTTCCTTGGCTGCTCCCCCTGACCCAGAGGAGGTGACCAGGGTTGTGGGGGGCGGGCAGGCTGACCCCATTCCCTTTCCCCAGGCCTGTGAGCGGGACCTGCAGTGCGGCAGCGGGACGTGCTGTGCTGTCAGCCTCTGGCTGCGGGGTCTGAGGATGTGCACCCCACTGGGGCAGGAGGGGGACGAGTGCCACCCCTTCAGCCACAAGGTACCTGGGGGTCCCGTGGGTGGGGGGTCCAAGCACTGGGTGGGAAAATGCACTGAGCTCAGTGCATAGGAGGGAATCTCAGTGCACACTGTGGTGTGGAGAGGGGATGGGACAGGTTTAGGATGAAGCTCTTGGCATCACTATGGGGGTCTGCAGGGAGGCACGGTGCAGTGCTGTCATCCCATAGGGTGTTTTCTGCCTGTCCCCACCACCCTAAACTCATAGGGAGCCTTGGGAGCGGGGGGGTCTGAGCAGCCCGACACATTCATTTAAAGCAAACTGCTCCGAATTGATTTGTAAATGCGCTGCCAAGCAGGGAGACGCCTGGTTAATACCGCAGAGCCGCCTGAGCGCTGCGCTCTCCATCCGCCCAGAAGCCCCGACGTGTTCGGATTATCCCAAAACTGCCATCCCTCTTCCAAATGCAGACACCCGGCCCCGGGGGGCTCCTTCTCTGTGCCCACAGATCGATTGTGCGAGGTGGGGACAAAGATTTAATGATCCCATTCCTTCTCCTTCTGAGGAGGGAACAAAAGCGGAGGGATCAGAAATTCATTTCAGGGGTATTTCCATGAAACAGCTGAGAAGCAGCAGAGGGAAATTCCCAGGGCTTTGGTCCTGGATGATTATTTTTCACCTGCTTGCAGCCCGAGGGCTGGCACGGGGTCAGGGTTGGGTTGGGGTTTAGGTTTGGGTTAGGCTTAGGGTTCAGTTCGGGGTTGTGTTCAGGATTTGGGTTAGGGTTAAGGTTGGGTTGGGGTTTCTCCATTCTCTCTTCCATTTCTCTCTGCAGGTCCCATTCCTGGGGAAGCGCCAGCATCACACCTGCCCCTGTTTGCCCAACTTCAGCTGCTCCAGGTTCCTTGATGGCCGCTATCGCTGCTCGCTCGACTTCAAGAACTTTGACTTTTAGGTGATGGAGCTGTGAGTTTCATCCCAGCCTGCAGCCCCCAGCGCCCATTTCTCGCCCCTCTCTTTGCTCAGTGCACTGTAACCCCCCCCCAGGCAACCCTACAAGCACATTTCCAAGGTAGACAGCATTGCTACAAGCAATGTGTATGGGGAAACTGAGGCACGGTCAAGCGAAGCTGCTCTGGCACATTGCTTAGCAAAGCTTTGCCCCCAGGGCAGATGGAGGACAGCAAATCTCTTTGACCTCCAAAAACCCTTTCATGGAGCACAGCCTGCATGCAGTGGATGCTGTCAGCCAGATTTCACCTCCATCCTTTCTTTTACTGACGAAATTTGGGAGGAGTGAACTCTCTGATCCAACCTGCAATTAAAAGAAACATCTACCAATTAGCTTGGCTAATTAGGGGTTGGTTTTTTCCCAGGTGTTCAAGCTCTGGTGCAAAGCATCATGTAATGTTATATGTTTATTTGGGGGGGAGGGGAGTGGATCTGACTGCTGCCCAATGGGGGTCTGTGGGATGTGGGGAGTTTTCTACATCAGCCTCTATTTCTGGTGGTCAAATCTGAGGGGACACTGCATCCCTTAACATCCCTTAAAGCAGTGGCAGTGCTTGAAGGCAAAGCTGGCTGTGGGGCATGGAAGTGCTTGGGGTCTGTCCCCCCCCTCCTCTTTTTGGTGCACTTTTATGGGGTTTGGTGCTACTGTAGTAATTGTTTCTGTTTCTAAGGATGCCCACTGGATGTCTGTGGCAGATGCTGTGTTAATGGAGAATGTAAAATAAACAAGACTGGGAGAAAGCTTCCCCACCCTTCTGTCTTCCCCAGTGAAATATTGTATTTTGGGTGAAAATAAAACATTGCAATGCCTGGGTTGATTTTATTTAGTTGTGTGGTTTGTTCTTGGGTTGTTTTTTTGTTTGTTTGTTTGAAATATACATCAAAATAAATCCTTATCTCCATGAGCAGCTCGGTTAAGAGACAAACCTCATTGGTTTGGAGGGGATCAGATATAAGGAGAAAGTCCTTTACTGGGAGGGTGGGGATGGGAAGATGGGAAGGGGCTTTCCTGGAAGTGTCCATGGCCAGGCTGGATGGGGCACTGGGTTTATTGGTTGGCAGCCCTGCCAGTGTCTGGTTCTTGGAACTAGAAGGTCTTTGAGGTCCCTTCCAGCCCAACTATTCTCTGATTCCTTGTGTCCTGGTGGGTCTGATCTGAAGGGAATGGGCATTGCTTGTGTTTGAGGGGGATGCAAGTGTCTCTGGTTCATGCAGCCCAGCCCCAACCCATTCCCACCACTGTCCAAATCAACAGAACAATTCCAGCTGGTTCCCATTATGCAGGCAAAGAAATCGTCATGAATCCCCGCTTTACCCAATGACAGGAGCAGGGCCATTGCAGAAAGCTGCTCACCTTGCAGCGGGGGGACGCTCAGCATCACTTCAAGGCTGAACAATGGAAACTGCGATAGGAGACTCAAACAACAGAGACAAAAGGGGTCTGTCAGCTTTGCTCTGCTATCATCAGAAAAACCCAACCCCTACCATGATACTGGTGGCTGCCTCTGGCTTTTAGGGCCCGGGGGGGCTCAAACAGGAGCTGATAGGGGGCTCCTTGCATCCCCCAGCTGAGCTCCCCAGAGAGCAGTGCAAGCTGATGCCTGTAGCAATTAGCAGTGCTGCTGATAGCAAGGTGCTCATTAAGGTGTTTAATCTTGGGTTAATGGTCTCCGTATCGCTGGGCACACAGCACATGGAGAGGGGTCGGCATGCTGCGGGGGTCACCTTTCCCATGGGCTGTTTGCATCCCACTTAACTAATTGGTTTTGCAGATAAGGACGTGCAGGCAGCCCTCACACCCATGTCCTCACACTGAGGGGCCCCCTTCCCCATTCCAACCTGGGACAGACCCTCTGTAGTTTTGGGGGAGTTTGCACAAAGCTGGGGTCCCGCTGCTGCGTGTGTTTTGGATACCCAAATGGAAAGCGACTGCAAAATTTGGTGCCCGCAGTCTGGTGGGGGTGAAGGATTTGGGGTGTTAAAGGATGGGGGGCAGAGCGGGACCACCTTGCTGTCCCCACGCCCCTGGTGACGTGTGGATGTTGGGTGTTGTTTGCCATGGGTGCCAGCACCTGGGTGTCACCAGGGGTACCTTGGCTGGGTGCCCACCAGGTGGGGACGGCTCCGTGCCTGCCCTTGGCCCTACAGGGTGGGGAGGACTGGGGCTATTTAAGCCACGGGGCATTTCTCCTTGCAAGCCCGCATCCTTGGCACGATGCGATCCCTGGTGCTCCTGTGTGTGGTCCTTGCTCTCTCCGATGGCATCAGCAGGTGAGCCCTTGCAGCATCACTCTGCACTGATGCTGCTGCAAGCAGCCAGCTCCTGGCTCACTCTGTTTTTCTTTTTCCAGGCTGCCCTTGGAGAGGGGGAAGAAGCTGAGAGAGATCCTTCGGGAGAAGGGCTTGCTGCACCGCTTTCTCCATCATCACCACTACGACATCAGCACCAAATTCCTGCATGCTTTTCCTGATGTGCTCACTGTGGTCAACGAGCCCCTGCTGAACACCCTGGACGTGAGTGCTGGCTTTGACCCACAGCAGGGAAACCCAGGGGTGGCTTGTGGCGTGCCCATCCCTGTGACAGCACCATGCACGGACCAAATCCTGAGGGGTTTCCCCCATAAGTTGATATCTTTTACCTCTTCCCATCCAGCAGCTCTACTGCAAGCAGAGTATTCCCATGCACGCATAGAAGGCTGCAAACCTGGGGCAGACCCATGCCCAATTTATGCCTTAAAAGCATCTCTTGATCCTATCCCATAGATGGAATACTACGGGACCATCTCCATTGGCACCCCACCTCAGGACTTCACTGTGGTCTTCGACACCGGCTCCTCCAACCTCTGGGTTCCCTCTGTCTCCTGCACCAGCCCAGCTTGCCGTAAGTAGCAATGGGCAGGACGCCCCGTTTTGGCAGGGCAACACGTCCTGGGCTTATAGCTACAGACCCAGATTTTGGGGTGGCACTGCTCAGGGATCAGAGGGCAGCACAGTGAGGTTCTGGGTCCAGTTGGATCTGCACCACATGCTGACGGGATGAGCGTTTGCGGTGTGGGAACTGCTAAGCGTTCTACTCCATGGGGCTGTGTGTGTTGCCTCAGTTTCCCTATCTCCCCAAAGGAGTGATGGGTTATCCTAGAGATCCCTGGCATTAGGATGCAGTAGGGATGTATAGCAAATGTTCACAGCTAAATTGTTTCTGCAGCAGGGTAATAAATGGCAGGTCTAAACAGCAATTCAGCAGGGTTCCGACTCCCACGCTATCCTTATGGCTCAGCCTTGCTGAAAATCTTCATTTTTGGTTTCCCACTTACCTTCTAGAAAGCCATCAGATGTTTAACCCATCGCAGTCCTCCACCTACAAAAGCACCGGGCAGAACCTGTCCATTCACTATGGCACTGGTGACATGGAGGGCACCGTGGGCTGCGACACCGTCACTGTAAGTGTCACGATGGCATCTCAGTGCCTTCTTCTGTGCCTCCTCCACCCAACTCCCACCTGCACTGCAATGTCTCAGAGCTAAAAGCGTTGTCCCCATCCCTAGGTTGCATCACTGATGGACACCAACCAGCTCTTTGGCTTGAGTACATCTGAGCCTGGCCAATTCTTTGTCTATGTCAAATTTGATGGGATCTTGGGCTTGGGCTACCCAAGTTTGGCTGCTGATGGAATCACTCCGGTCTTTGATAACATGATGAATGAGAGCTTACTGGAGCAGAACCTCTTCTCAGTCTATCTGTCCCGGTAAGATGTGTCAGTCCTGAGGGCTGGGGGAGGTAGCAAGTGGCTTTGGTTCAGATCATTGCACTCGCTGGGCAACCCAGCTCCTCCACTGCCACTGATGCTATCTGGCTGTTGTCTGTGTGTCGTGATGGATAGGGACAGGGGAGCACGCTGCTGTTGTGCCATGGCCCTGCTGGTGCCCAGCAATGAGAATGTGACCATGGTGTCACAGACAGCATCTGATCCATGGCACCCACAGCCCCTTGTTTTAAGGTGACAGCCCTGAAGATACACTGGCAACCCCTTTGGTGTTTTTCTTTCATGTGTCATCCAGTGAGACAATGGGGAGCACAGTCATCTTTGGGGGAATTGATGATTCCTATTTCACTGGCTCCATCAACTGGATTCCTGTCTCTTACCAAGGTTACTGGCAGATCTCCATGGACAGGTAACGAAACGACTGCTGATTTATGTTCATTTCTAACCCTTGTTTCTCAAGAGACCCATGAGCCTCATAGGCTTTCTGCTGGCATAACACACCATGGTGCAGAAGGCCAAGGGACCAAACCCCACTGTACTCTGGTGATTCCCACCTGATTTGGGGATGCTTCTCGTCCACTGGTTCCTCTCTTGCACTAAGCCTGTTCCCTTGGGACTGTGTTTGAAAGCATCACCAGGACGCAAGGCCTTGTCTCTTCTTCCTTCTCTCCTGCCAGCATCATCGTGAACGAGCAGGAGATTGCCTGCAGCAGTGGCTGCCAAGCCATCATTGACACTGGCACATCTCTTGTGGCTGGGCCGGCCTCAGACATTAATGACATCCAAAGTGCAGTCGGGGCCAATCAGAACTCGTACGGAGAGGTAAGAGTGTCCATGTCCTCCTCTGTTAGTGCTACATGCAGCCTGGCACACACCTGGCTTCATGCCTGCTTCCACGCACAGACGCACCAAATCTGCAGCAAACCACCCCTGCTGCTCCAACAGAGACCTCCATGGGACTCTCCCAGTCTCCAGTTTACACCAACCCAATCAAATCCCCCCCCATTGTGCTCCATCAACGTGTTGCCTCTTACCTAAGAGCCTCTTTCCTCCGCCCTCTGCAGTACAACGTGAACTGCAGCCACGTCCTTGCCATGCCTGATGTTGTCTTTGTCATCGGTGGCATTCAGTATCCCGTGCCTGCCTTGGCTTACACCGAGCAGGTAAGGAGGAACCTGGCAACAAAGCCAGTCTCCATGTCCTTTTACTTTCTCCAATGGCTCTCAAGGCTTTGGCTTCCCCATGAGAGATGGCCATGAGCCTCCAGAGCAACCCAACAAAAGCTGCTAACCCACATTTTCCCCTTTTGCTTTCTCTGGCTCAAATGCAGAACGACCAAGGAACCTGCATGAGCAGCTTCCAGAATAGCTCTGCAGACCTCTGGATCTTGGGAGATGTCTTCATCAGAGTGTACTACAGCATCTTCGACCGGTCCAACAACCGTGTTGGACTGGCCAAGGCTATTTAGATCTGCTGAGATGACAGCACTCAACCAGAGCACGACTGTGTTTGTTAGAGCAGCAAGAGGTCTCTTGTAAGGTGTCCTTGCTTGCATGCAAATAAAATACTGATGATGTGGAGTCGGTGGCTGCACATTTATTGGTGATAAGAGGGGAGGATTTAGGGAGGTATCATACACTTGCTGCTTCGAGGTGGTGGCAGAACACTGGGACAACTGAACAAGACTGGGGCTGCTGGGAGCTGAGGCTTATAGGAAGGCTTTGTACTGGGATTGTGTCACATGAGCAATAGTGGAAAATCTCAATTTCCATCCAGAAGGTGAATTCCCCACCCCAGAGCAACAGACTGCAAATCTTCTGCACGCAGCTGTGCATGTGTAGAGAGGAAGTCTTGCTTCAGTTTCTACAGCTTAGAGCACTCCATTGCCAATTGCTCTACCACTGTTATGAGCCCAATGCAGCAGGGCTCAGCAGCCCTGGTGGGACCAAGACCCCGGGCATCATCAGGCACGAATGAGAGTGGGGAGCACAAACACTGGGACCGCTGTCGTACTTTTTATGTCTAAGAAATGTCTGTCCTGGAGTGCCATCTCGTGGCTGTGGTTCCAAAACTATTTCTGTGCATAGGGGAAGCGTGGAAATAAGCGGTGCCAAAAGGATGCCCCAAGGCTTGCTTGGAAATTTTGCATCAAAGGAAGGAGGAGATGGTCCTAGCTGAAAAATATGAAAAATATGTCAACTCTCCCTAAGAGCATTGAAAGCTCAACGCTTTCTGCTATGAAATAAAAAGAGAAATGTGGTAAAACTGCTGGGAAGGAGCTGGGGGTTTCTCAGAGTGCTGCTCTCCAGCTGTCCCTGCAGATGCCTGGTATGAAAAAGATCTGGTTGTAGGAAGTCCAGCCCTCCAAGCAGAAGCTCTGCAGCAGAGCAGAATCTGGGATAGGTGGGTGCAGAAGCTCTGCTAGGGGGAGAATCCCAGCACGCCCCAACTCACGTTTTACATCAGATTGGGAATGAGAATAAATAAAGAAATAATCTTTCAGCACTCCTTTCTGAATGAAACTGCAAACCAGAGATGCTGGCACGTTGCATAATGATCACGCCGACCGTTTAGGAGATGAGACATGGAGTAGAACAGATGTGGGATACAAAGCGGATGCGTGGACACTGCATGAGAAGCTGTGATTTTAATGTAGGCAGAAACATCAAAAAAGCCAACCGAAACAGGGAAGTTGGAACAAAATGTTTTTGTCAGAAGAAAACCTGCTGGCCTTAGAGAGAATAGCATAATGATCTGCTTCTGTTTCTCCCCTTCAAAAGTGCCTATGGAAATTTGCATGTTTTCGAAAACCAGAAGTGCCTTTTACAATGCAGAGCCAAGCTGTCAGGAAACGTCAGCCCTCATTACTCTGTGCTCCATTTGCAGCAACATAAGTGACAATAAAAGCTACAAGGTCACGGAGATTGGTCCCGAAGGGCATTCGTGCACCAGATAACCCACAAGTCGAATGTTTGTTTGCATTAAAAGTCCCCCCTGCCCTTCTCAGAGCTCAGCTGGTCCACCAGAACCCCCACAGGCACTGAGCCACAGCCCTTCCTTGGTGGCTGTACAGCTGCATCCCGTCCTCATCCCTCACTTTCTAAATCCCTGCACACACTGGCTCCGTCCCATCCATCATCGTCCACCCTGCTGTGCCACCAGCACAGATCATGGAACTGAATCTGCAGAGGAAGCATTGATAACGCACTGAGAAGAGCAGGGGGATGGGACCAGCTCTGCCCCTGGGAAGCTGGGTGGCACCAGAGAAAGCATTTCTTGTATTTTTTCCCCTTTTTGCCTCTCAGTAAATGGGGGAAAATCTCCATGCATGGGGGGGAAGTGTGCTCTGATGCTGTGGTCAGGAAAGATGGATGTCAAACAGATGAGCATCAAGTAATAAAAAGCAGACCGGTGGGCAGGGAAGAGAGATAAGAAAGGTGGTATTTATTTGAACAGCCACGGGAAATCAAAGATTGAAAAACGTCTAGAAAATAAATAAATAAATAAATAAATAAATAAAAGCAGCAGCACATTTGGTTTAAAATAAAATAAAAACAACAACAAAACAGCTTGCAGATGTTGCATGCCTTACCCAGCCCACCCCCCACCTGACAGCGCTCAGCTCTGCCATGGAAACAAGCATCATTTTTTGGCCTTGTCTCGAGGGTAACCCCCATTGGTCTTATTGAGAGACTCCATGCTGTCGTTGCCCGTCACCACACTGTTGAGTATCCTCTCCACTTCCCCGGGCAGAATTTGCTTCTCTTCATTCTCCGTCTCCCTGTGGTAGAAATAGTTAAAGTTTGAGACGATGACGGGGACGGGCAGGGCGATGGTCAGCACTCCTGCAATAGCACACAGCGTGCCCACGATCTTCCCCCCCAAGGTGGTGGGACACATATCACCATAGCCAACGGTCGTCATCGTGACCACGGCCCACCAGAAGCCATCGGGGATGCTGGAGAAATGGGACTGTGGCTCGTCCACTTCCGCAAAATAGATGGCGCTGGAGAAGAGGATGACGCCGATGAAGAGGAAGAAGATGAGCAAGCCCAGCTCCCGCATGCTGGCCTTGAGGGTCTGCCCCAGGATCTGCAGCCCCTTGGAGTGCCGGGACAGTTTGAAGATCCGGAAGACCCGCACCAAGCGGATGATCCGTAGGATGGCCAAGGACATGTTCTGCTGCCCGTTGAGTTCGCTCTGCTGGATCAGCTCGGTGGTGAGCGTCACGAAGTAGGGGATGATGGACACAATGTCAATAATGTTCATGATGTTCTTGAAGAACTCGGTCTTGCTCGGGCAGACGATGAATCGAACGAACAGCTCGAAGGAGAACCAGATGATGCAGGCAGTCTCTATGACAAAGAAAGGGTCTGTGAAGGTGCTGTGGGCCAGCAAGGTGTCCGTCGTATTCTTAGAAAGCTCCTGGGTGGACTTATATTCCCTTTCCTCTCTGAACTCTGGCAAGGTCTCCATGCAGAAGATGATGATGGAGATGACGATGACCAGGACAGAGACCAAAGCTACACCTCTGGCCGCGCTGGAGCTTTCGGGGTACTCAAAGAGCAGCCAGAATTGCCTATGAAAGTCATTGGTTGGTAAGAGAGTCTCAGGGTCCTTGATAAACCCTTCATCCTCCCTGAACTGGTCCATGGCTTCGTCACCCAGCTCATAGAAAGTGATTTCATCAGCAAAGACATCAATGGGTACGTTGGCCGGACGCCGGATTTTCCCACCCGATTGGTAATAGTACAGGATCCCATCAAAACTGGGCCTGTTCCTATCGAAGAAATACTCATTCCTCATGGAGTCAAAGTAACGCATCCTCTTCTCTGGGTCACCAAGCAAGGTCTCCGGGAACTGGTTGAGGGTCTTGAGTCGTGTCTCAAACCTCAGCCCAGCGATGTTGATGATGACTCGCTGGTCCCCCTCCTCCATCCCAACCCGCTCCCCCACCAGGTGCTCGCTGAACTCAGCAGAGAACCTGGAGAAAATGGTCTCATTGTTGGCGTTTTCACTGTTGATGAGGATTCTCCAGTTGGAGAGGAGGTTGGCGCAGCTGGGATGGCCTTTCCGCGACTGGCTGGCGGGGCTGAGGTCGTTTGAATAACAGGGATCCTCCACGATCTGATCAGCGTTGTCAAAACTGACTAGTGCCACCTCCATCTCCTTCCAACTGGACACGTCCATCATACACTAATCAGATTAGCAGCATAAATCCCCGGGTCGAATGCCGGCAGCTTGCTTCTTTCCCACGCTATGAGAATCTGCAAGCAAACAGACAGGGAGACAGATGAACTGTGCATGTGGCTCACTTTGCTCGACCGAAGAGAATGAAACAAGCCTGAGGTCAGAAAACCCTGCGTCTCTTAACACACTCCTGAATTTCATCTGCATTGTACTTCCAGTGTATTTTTTCAGGTCCTGTTGGCACAGCTTCGTTATCATCACTAAACTTCTCAATTTCTACAGCACCCAAGGATAGAAGGTCAAGCAGCAGCATCAGGTGGGGGAGGATCCAGGTGTCCCACCCAGGTTTTGCCCACCCACCCCAAGCTTTGTTTGGTACAGCCTTGCTCCAGCTGAGATTGGTCAAACTGGAGGTGCTGGGTGACCTGGTATGTGGGAAGCAATTCCCAAAGCAGAGGTCAGGAGAGGTTCTGAGGAGTGCCAACCACGAGGAAGGCAGGATGGGAGGAGAAGGAAGCATCTATCAGCCTTGGAGAACTCCTCTGTTGTGCACGAGGAGGGGCAGAACTGGAACTCCTTGTATCGATCCAGCACTCGGGGTGGGTGGTGAACCAATTTGAGGTTAACAGGGAGAAATCCTGGGAATATTTACACCCAAAATGCATCCATCCTGGCCACTACACCCATTTATTTTCCCCTCCTTTCCCCCACTCAGCTCTCTCCCCTCCCAAACGTGTTTTCCAGTCATACACACAAGCACTGCTGCTCCATTTTCCACGTGCTCACTAATCACCAAGGGCACACTGGCTTTCTTACCTGGCAAAGTTCAGCAAGAGGGACTGAAAAACCCAAATGCCCTCAATTGCCAGGAATAGCAGTGCAATCCAGGCCAGCTCCGCGTGGGGACCAGTCCTGTACTGGAGCTCTGAGCACACAGTGATGCCTGAGCCACCTCACTGAGCCTGAGCCACTGGGGCTCCAAATTGTTCCCCACACTTCCCTTAGGATAGGACTTATCTGTCCAGGCTGGGACAAGCTGGAAACCCAAATAAACCCAAATCTGCTGGAGGAGATGTTAGCATTCTGGTTAGCTACAAATCCTCCCTATGAGCATTGCAAGCTCAAAAGCAGAACTTCATGCAGGAGCCGGTGGTGTCCATCTCTCTTTGCTTGAATGAAAAACACAGAGCAGGGCTCCTCGTGGGTATCTCCCTGGAGCTTTGGTTTTGTACCCATTTTCTTACATGGAAGCACTGAGAGAGGAGCATTTGGGGCAACGCAGCTGAAAATAGAGCTAGGAGAAGCAGCGGTGTGTTTCAGTCCCGCTGCAAAGATGAGCAGCCCCAGAACTGAGTCCTTGAGCCCAGGGATGGAATCAGGCAGGGTTAAGGCGAACCCAAGGTGCTGCAGCTCTCCATGGGTTCAGCTCACACCCGAGTTTTCGGCAGCTCAAAGCTGCTGTGAGTGAGATGAGATGCAGCTTTGGGGCAGCCCACATCTCTGTGTCCACACAGCATCAGCAGCTAGGCTGGGATGAAGGATGCTGAGAACAACCCAGCCTGGCTCATTTGGAGGGAGAAAAAGGCAGAAAGAAGACAAATGAGGAGATCTGACCTCACATTCACAGCACCTCACCCCTGCTGCAGCCCAGGAGGGAACCTGTGCCCTGGAGCCTCACTCAGCATCAAAGCAATCTTAGGGCAGCTTAAGCTGACTGTGAAATTGCATCTGAAGTCAGTACCGTGAGATGATCTCGGTTTTAGAAAGCATTAAGGGTGCTTAACTCCTAAAAGTGTGCGAGAAGACTCCCAAGCCCTCACTTCTTCAGCCTGAGACTTCGAGGAGGCTGTGATAGCTCAGGATCTGGCTCTGCTCTGGAGCCCATGTGCAGATCACACTGAGCCCTGGCACCAGCCCTCAGGAGGCAAAGAGCAGGAAGCTGAATGGCACTTCTTAGCTCCCCTCCATGCATTTTAGCCCCATTTGCAGCCATTGGGGACCTGGACAGGCAACGCAGGGCTGTGACTCTCCTCTCAATGCCTTCAGACCCCCAAAGCATGCTGACATCTGCTTGTCCCCACGTTCAGAGATCAGTGTCCCACCTGTCCCAGAGCCCAGAACACCTCTTCTGTCTCATTTTAAATTTAGACCAAATTAATGGCACTTCCCAAAGGCACAAAGCAATCTCTCCAAGCAAGAACAGAGCCACACGCTTTGCAACACGCGCTCCAGGCTCCAACTAGAAAGTCGTCTCGTTTTTTCCTCCTAAATCACCTAACATCTGCTTCTCAGAATCTGATTAACTAATACGCTTCATCCAAAATCCCTGGCTGGGAAGGGGAAAAAAAAAAAAAACAAGAAAAAACACCAACAAGACAGAGAAACTGAAAGAGACAAAGGTCATTTGAGAGAGAGCTTGCGTTTTCCCCATCAAAACCCGATGGCAAGTCAGGAAATGGGGTGTGTGTTGTCCACCACCCCTTCTGCAGCCACACACCAACATCCCCACACAAGTCCCCCAGCTCTGCTCCCATCCCCACTCAGACCTCACACACGTGGGCAAGTGACAGCATTCTCTGAGGTCCCCACAGAGAAGCAGAGGTGCTGAACTGCCTCCCCCCAGCCCTTCCCCATCACCCCTCTGCTCCATGAGACGTGCAGTGATTTCTCCCAAAGCCCCCCCCCCCCACGCCATCACCTACAACTTACCCACGCAGGGCATGGAGGTGCCAGTGCTCTCTGCATCTGGAAGGAGAGTTGTTAAACACACAGAGGGACGTGTAGAGAGAGGAAAAAAAAAAAAAGAAAGAAAGAAAAAGGAAAAAAAAAAAACAAAAACCAAACACCAGCCATACCCTTGAAAGGTCCCGTTGGGATAAAGCAGGCAATGTCATTTAGAAGTCTCTCCTCTATTTGGTTCACTGTATAATTGGCAGCCCAGCATGCCAGGGATGGGCTTTGGCAGCATCCGATGTGGTTTGGAGCCTCGGCCCCACCGTCGCCTCGGGGAAAGGCACCTGCTCTGCCCTACAAAGCGCCGGGGGTCCATCGGGAAGGGGGAACAGGGGGCACCCAGGCCCCCCACCTCCTTCCCCCAGCTGCTCGCCGGGGGGAGGGACGGTCCCTTCTGGCGGATGCCACCTTTAATCCCCAATAAAGCTCCGGATGGTCCAGCAGGGACAGGTCTGCTCGGTGACGTGGTGAGGTCTGAGCCGGTGCCCAGGAGGGAGGCAGAGAGGGGGACTGGGACCGAGCACTGCTGGCACCAGGAGAGAGATTTAGAGCAGGTGGTCGGGCTTGTTTAGCATTCATATATACCAACAGCATTAAAAAGAAGAGAGGGGGAAAGCCCGAGGGCTGGAGCATCCCCATGCGCCCACCTACCTCTTGCCTGCAGCCACGGATGCAGTGGGCTCCTTTTCAAGAGGGGATGGCTGCAGTGCCACCGCCACGTGGGAAACACCCCTGACCCCCCCGATGTGACAAGGAGCAGCCAGCACAGCCCCACACATCACTGACAGGGACAACGCAGAGAGGGGACAAGCAGTGCCATCAGATTGTCACCCCGAGCAATGGGAGAAGGAACGGCCCTGTGGGATGTCACCGTTAGTCACCAAAGGAGCTGAGATTTTTCTTCTCTCCTCCTGACCCCACTGCATCCTTTGCCACGTGTCCCACCTTGCTGGGTGACTCTGCATAGGGCTGTGTCCCACCTTCTCACCGGTGAGCCCACACCCTCCTCCTCCTCCCCAGACCTCTGTGTTTGGGCACGTTCCTGCCCATATCCCACAGCCTCAGCTCCTGCACAGCACTGCTCCCGTGGGACCCGATCACCTCCATTTCCCCCAGCTCCCTGCTCTGTCCTCAAAGCTATTTTCCATCCATGATGTTAATGAGCACATTAAAACAAGGCGTCCCATAGGAGAGCTCAGCACCCACAGGTTGGGGCATCTTCAGCTCAGGTCTGGGCATCCGTACCTACAGCCAGCAATGGAAACGGGCCATAGCATCTCCCAGACTTCAGAGTTGGTTTGTCGTCCTCCACATCCCCTTCTGCACCCCTAGAGTCCCTCCACATTGGGAATCTATCAGCAGAAAGGAGTTTTAACCAATCTGTGCTCAGTTGAGGGGACTGGGGATGTGTCAGGATTTCCCTACCCCCAGCCAGGTGCCCCATCCTCCTCCCACGCTTCCGTCCCACTAATCCCACCAGCAGCAGCTCCTGGCATCTGCTGGGATTTATCTTTTAGGACAACGTTGCTCCCGAGGGCGTCCTGCAGCCAGGGCAGGCATCCAGAGAGCATGGCTGCAGAGCTCTGCACACACGGCTCTGCTGCAGGAGGGCAGGACGGAGCTGCAGGGGGACTTTGCTGGACTGTTCCCAGCTCTTGAACAAAGTGATGCTTGCACAGATCTCTGCAAGCTGCTGTGCTCCGCTCTGCACCAGCCAGACCCAAGCTCCAGCTCACAGATCAAATTAGTGAAGTAATTAGCCCCTGCTAGTTTTCTTCATTTTTAGCAGAACTAATTAGCTGGGGTGCAGCGCTAATTGCAGCTGTGTGGCTCCTGGGTTGGGCTGGGCTGACTCTGTGGCATCTTCAGGACATATTGGGGTGACTTTTCCATACACCTCAGCACTGTGTGATGTGCCCCTAAATCAGCAAAGCCCCAAATCAGAAGTGCCTCCAAACCAGCACCAGGGAAGGATTTTGGGAAGGGAAGAACATGGGAGGCTTGGAATTCACAGTGAGCACAACACAAACCTTCACTCCTTGATGTTCTGACTCCAGCACTGATGCTAATGAACCAAAGATAATTAAAGGAGCTACAAAACACTCTGGTATCAGTGAACCTAAAGTCCGTGACACCCACATGCACAGAGAAACCTTTGCTTTTAAAAGGAGAGGTTAAGGTGAGCCCTGACATTTAAATCCTTTAATTGCACCAAAGAAACGCTTGGGCTGAACTGGCAGCCACCAAATTCTGAGCCCCAGCCTCTTCCCTGCCTCAGTTTCCCCACCCACAACATCACTACATGCTGCATAACCACACAGCAGCCCCACATTGAAGGATGCACAGGAGGAAACTTGCAGGCTGGATTCCTGGTGCAGGATGGAAGCGACCCTCCCTGCCAGCCTCCCTCTGTACATCCCCCCTTCTGATTTTTCCATATATATAGGATGTACACACGCATATATAGGGTATATATATGGAACATATATATAAACCAGATTAACAGAGGACCCAGAACGTACAGTCCACACCACGAGACGGATGAAACCTTTCTGATACCCAGCCCAAATTAATCAGCTACGGATTAACCGGGTCAGGAAGCAATTTAATAACGAGTGGAGCTGAGCACAGCCATCCCTGCACGGAGGGAACCAAGTGCTCCCCCATCACAGGTGCTCATTCAAAGCTGCTGCAAAGCCAGTCCGACAGCAGGAAAAGACAGATGGGGCAAAAATGAGCTCCGCAGCGAGGCAGGCTGCAATCACCTGGGTCTGATCCAAGCCCTCCCCACCTTCCCCACACCCAGCACAGGAGTTTTTAGCCTGATTCAGAAAAATAAAAAGGGTTTAGATGGGTGTTTAGCAGGAGGCATGCCTCGGCGCCTCGCGGCGCTGCTGAATGGGCTGTCGGAGGTAACGCGATCGAGGAGAGTCGATGGCAAATCGATGGCAAAGTTTCCCCATCTGCCCCAAAGTGCTGCGGGGTTGGCCAAGCCTGGGGTGCAGCACTGCGACCTCCTCCTGTTCCTAGGGATGAGCAGCGTCCTGACCCCACTGCCATCAGCACTAACCCTCCTGGGAGGCTGCGGCCGAAGCCAAAAGTGGATGGATGGTATAAATGGAAAGCAATAGGAAGCCACTTAAGTGGGTCACGCTGATACCTGCATCGATCCCGAGCTTTGCAGCAGTGGCAGCAGGAGCAGGAGGGGCAGGGGTTGGGGTCGTTTGGGTTGGCAGCACCGTGTGCTTTGCCAGAAAGCAGTGCAGCTGACCCAGGGCGGTCATCCCAGTCCTGCAGTCCCATCCAGGGAAGGACATCATAATTCGGATGCAGCAAGAACAGAATTAAGGTTTAAAGGGACTGAAATTGTCAATGGGACCCTCCGGCTCCTGACGCTCCCAGCTCACCCCTAGCATCCCAGAGCAACCCCCTGATTCTCCAGCTTTTCTCCAAGGACAAACTCAACTTGGTCACCATCACCCCAAAGGAGAACAGCAAACCCCCCCAAACCCACCTAATAACCCCTCCTCCTCCCTCCCTCCCCACCTCAGTCTTTTAACCCACTGCAAAGAGGAAGGGAGCAACAAACCCAGCTTCTGCATCATCTTCATCCTGCCCCAGAGTCCTGGTCCTACTGCCTCCTCTGCCTCTCCCAGCTCCTGGCTGTGGGATGCTCATACCCGTCCTGCACTGGGCAGAAAGGCGATGCCAGAGCCCACGTGAGCCCGGTGGGACTCCTTGCCCTCATTCTCCTTGTGCCTGAAATGGGATTTTGCTCCCTTGCTGGGTTCTGCTTACTCCCAGCCTGCCATCTCTGTGGCTGCCAATGTGCACCTTTGCTTTCTGAGCGAGGGTGAGGAAGGAGCAGCACTAAGAAGAACATGGGGCTGAAGCCCAAACGTGTCCCTTTCTGCCCTTGCAGAGCTGCTCAGGGGGCTGTTTTGCCAAATGCAGTTGGGAAAGCACTGCTTTGACACAGGCTGCACCCATTTACTCCTGCTTGGACCCTCCCATGCTCCCACCACCAGCACAGCACTGGTTTGGCATCCCTCAGCCACGGGTCCCATTGAGCAGGCACTTCCTCATGCACAGGAGAGAAAAACCCTCCATTACTGGGAACCTGCATTTGCTTTCGGCTCCTAATTTGCTGAAGCTCTGTGCTTTTCAATTGGATTTTTGTCTTGCCTTTTTTTACCCACTCCCCCACGGATCAGGCAGTGGGGTCACCTTGTCTGTATTTGGACATGGACAAAAACAGCCCCAACCCAGTGCACAACAGAGGCTGCAGGATGTGGCTCCTGGGTCCAGCCCAAGGGCGGTGAGCATCACCTATTGCCTTCCATGCAGGCTTCCAAGCTGCTGCTGCCCCAAACCCCTGCCTGCATCGCCTGCAGACACAACCACCGTTTGGGGGTTTTGGAAAACCAGCCCTGGAAAAATCTCCCTTCAGCTGTAGGGAAAAGGGGATGTCAGAGTGATAAGCAGCCCTTCAGGATCCTGGCCAAATCAGAGCTGGCTTTTGCCTCGGAGCAATTTCTCAATCTCCTTCCCATGACCTTTGGAAAAGCAAACATCCAAACCCAGCACTGTGCCCTGATGTGGCCACCAGGCCCTGCAGAGCTGGGAGCCCATCACAGTGAGGGCTGAACTCCATCTCCCACTGGACACAGACTGCAGCACAGCTCAGCTGTAATTGCTGCAGCTCTTCACTTTGATTTTTGGCAATCTGATGTGGGAAGGAGATCAGATCTTAGGGAGATCTTTGTTGAGCGAGCCGAGAAGAAAAACAGACACAACGTGTAGGAAAGCCCCCATATTTGTCACGTCAGGAGATGCCCAAAGAGAAATACATCCCTGCAAGCTGGCACGGTGCTCCATCCTGCCAACCCAAAACCACATCCACCAGAATCAGACTCAAAATTATACAAATCCTCCCCAGATTCTCTGCATCGCTGGGTAAATGCTGTACAACCCCACGTGGCTCAATGGAATCCCTATGCTTGGTCACTTAGAGACTTTTAAAAGATCCCTTTATTTCTAGGCGAGATCAAGCCAACATAAGAAGATCCCATTCTCTCTCTCTCCTTACTGCAGTGTGAATCTGATGTAATCTGCTCCGCATTTAATCCATCCTGCCCCTTTTTCAGGTTAAACCAACTGCCTGGCAGCAATAGAGCTCAGCCTGCCAGAAATGAATTATTTTGCCCCACTCCTTACGGTTTAGCGTGAGCAGACTGCATGCAACTAATGTATTTCCTCACGTCTTCAGTGCTTCTTTCTGCAATAAAGCAGATTGCAATGGCCGATCATTTTCTAGTGGAAGTCTTTCAAAGCATTCAAAGCCATTAAAAAGATCACAGCCAAGAGAAACTACTTTATTTAAGTCTTGGAAAAGGAGCAAAGGCTGTAAATGCAGGAAGCACAAAGCGTATCTGCCTGGGCACAGGCAGGAACCCAAGAGCATCCAGAACTCCTGTATCAGCACAACTGGTGCACAGCCACGAGCCAAGCACCATTTTAACAGATGAGATAAACGGGAACCTTGTCAACCAGGTGGTTCCTCCCCATCCTGATGAAATAACATTAAGAGTGGCTTAATAGAAATGGGAACATCCCACAGGTGTTGGGCTCCGCTGTATTTCCATGGTGTCATTAACACCGTACAAAATTTTACAAGTGGAATAAAGATAATTAACAGCACTCACTCACCTGCAGCCAGGATCAGGCAGCCGAAATTACAGCTCTTCTTCCAGCAATAGGAGATCCTTGGGGTGGGTACGGATGTGGTGGTGTCTGCGCGGCTCTGACAAGCAGGTAAGGATTAGAAAGAGTTTGTCTCAGGAAAGACTCAGATTCAGAAATCCTATACCCTCGTGAAACCCTATCTTGCCTTGCTGTCCTTGGTTTTAAAGGAAACATAGGGAAGAAACACGGTGCTGCAAGCAGAGCTGTGCTGACTGCACTGACACAACGCTGGGGCGCAAAGAAACCAAAACTCTTCTGCAACCAATGCTGAGAGGGGAGCAGCCCTGGAAGGAGAGCACCCATGAGCTCAGCACCCAAAGGACAGCTTCAGAATGTGAGAGCAGAGCTGTCCCCATCACTGTTCCACGGACATCACACACACAGCATAAGGGAATCCCCTCACCTCTTCCCAAGGGATGCCAGGTGAATACACAGAGGACCAGTTGACCTGTGGCACTTCCACATCTGGGGGCCTTTCAGAGGGGTTCCCAGGAGGTGCTGAACATCTCTTACTGCAAGAGAACACAAAAATCGGTCACGCACTCAGCTCTGAGCAGCAGCATCCAGCAACAATGGGGAGGAGGTGAGGCAACCCAAGGTCACGGAAGGGTGTTCCCATTAGAAAGGGCCCACCTTGTTCCCTGAGCCACGAAGACCAGGGAAATAGGAGACTTCAGCTGCTCAGATGGGTCCTTCCAACACAGCTGCATGGTGTCTTGAGGCACATTTATAGGGTAGTGACCAAGTGCATTTGACTCCCTGCAATACACGGGATGGGTTGTGACTCTCTTGTACAACGTGTGGAGAGGATGATGGGAGGAAGGCACATGCTGGATTCCCAGCAGGATAGCCATGACTTTGCTAAGACAAACTGGGTCTTCTCCACCTCTCCTTGCTGCATTCAGCTGATGTGCTTCCTGTTATCACCCCCAGTCCTGCAGTAACCACAACTGGCAAGAGGTGGAAGGGAAGGTCCATTGCTCAGCCAAGTCATCAGCTTGGCCGTTCCCCTTTCACCAGGCAGACCCAACGACCTCCCTCAGCATTTAGGCACCATCCAAAGCAAAGCATGCCTGGTGTCCCTAGGAAGCATTCCCACCTCACAGGTATTTCCCAGAGGTTATAGTTACAGCACAGTAATGGGGGAATCACATTAATTACTTGCTCAGCTGAATGGTGATAACGAAGGCACGGTGCCGGGCGAGGGACATATCAAGAATCATGTTAGCATGGCAAGTGGCACAGGAACACCCAGAAAGGGTGATGCTCTGCAGAAAGGCCTGAAGTTGTTACAAGAACGTCGGGAGACTTGATACAAAAGGCCAGCTTATTAATAGCTAATAGGCAAATAAATTATGTACCCACTTGGGTGGATTGTGTTTCTCCCTCCTTCCTGCGTTCTCCTGTCTCCATCACCACCTTTCTACCTGTCCCACATGGTTCTTTCTTCTTTATTTTCACGCTTTTGATGCAAGGACTGATTCGTATTTGCTCATCACTGAAAACTTTAAAGCTCAATCCAACTTCTCCCAAGGTTTTGGCCACCCACACCTCCCCAGACCACAACAGGTACCACCAACCATGCTGACATCCCGTGTCAGACATCCCCAAAACCCCAGGGCTGCTCGTGGGGGACCCACCGAGGCCCTGGAAACACCGAGCCTGAAAGAAGAGCTCCGGGCAGCAAAACAAAAGCTTTCTTTGGGCCCGTTTTCAGAATGCAGCCCAGCCTGCTTGCCATCTGCCCAGCACCAGCAGGAGCAGCCGGAGTCCATCCGTGCCTGCAGCCAAGTGCCAACAGCTCTGCACCCTGCACGCTCCAGTGGGCGCCTGGCAGGCAGTAAGGTGAGGGCAAGGCTAGGCAGTGGTGCAGGGGAAGAAAAGGTGCCTTTGTTACGATCCTAGCACCCCCAAAACCCCAAGCAGGATGTTGGAAAGCTTAGCCAAAAGTAGTTAAAGCAGGTTTGCTTTGCGTTGCCTGCTTTAGCAGTCCACCACATTTCTCTTCTGGTTTGTGTGCAGCATGCTGTTGCCTGTCTGATGGTGCAATTACTATCATTCCTCCTCCCTTCTTGAGCTGGGAACATAAGATCACAGAATCACAGAGCATCCCCAGTTGGAATGGACCCACACAGATCACTGAGTTCAACCCCCAGCTCCACACAGCACCACCCAGCCCCAAATCCTATGGCTCAGTGGTGTTAAAACACTCCTTGAGCTCTGGGAGTTGATTGCCATGCCCACTGCCCTCCGGCAAGATGGATATTCCTAAAGAACCTTTCACAAGTGCAGAGGATCGAGCTCCCCCCAGCACATCACCGTGCATTGCAGCCTTCCTGGTGGCAGTACAAAGCCACATTCTCTGGGTAAGGTGAGGATCTTGGCCACTTCCATAGCAAATTCCACCCCCAGCCTGGGGTGAGGAGCATTCAGAGCAGAGCTAGGAGCAGAGTGCATTCCCTGTCCCAGCTCCTCACCCCCAGGACAGCATCACCCAGCACTGAGCCCTCATCCCCCCTTCTCTAATATTTCCTGATCACTTTCTCTGCCCGCTCTGATCTCAGAGGCCACGCTATGCTATCCCTCTGCCTGGGCAGCATTTGGCAATCTGATCACCACCTCCTCCTCACTGATCACCCCGGATCCCGCTCTGACCCCGATGATGTTCCACCCTCTGGTTCTTCATTGCCCAATTTGACACTGCTCCATCCACAGCCAAGCTCCTGTTCATCACCTGTTACCTTGTCCTTGTGTTTGCATGACCCCAACTCACGTCACAGCAGCTCCCAGCCACCAAAATCCAGTATTCTGTATCAGTAATGGGAAACTCTCAGCACTGCCTCTGACCTGAGCACACATCTCTTCCTCCCTGGGGAGAGAGCAACTTCTCACTGCCACCCACAAAGGAGGGGGACATGGCAGCATCCATCTCCAGCCTTTAGCAAACCCCCACATCTCCTTTCCCCATGGAGGCACCATTGCTGGACTGTTTTGTGCTGACCAAAGGCTGAGGAATCAGCAGCGAAGGGAGAAGTTTCACTTACCTTGTCTCTACTGCTGGACCAGAGCAGGGATGTTGATGTGATTGTCTCATCCTTGGGAAATTTTGGAACCTCATAAGCAAAGGAGAAGGAGGTGGTGTCTTTTCAGAAAATCAGGAGACCCAGCTGGAAAATCAAAGACTGTGGTGGTGAAAAGGGAGGTGGGAAAGCAATCGGTGGCCCTGCAAACAGAGGAGAGATGGGAGATCATGGGGAAAAGTCTGGAATGGAGTTGCATTGTGTTGCCTCAAAACGCCATCCAAGGAAAACCTATAAATGGGGAAACTGAGCCACAAAGCTACAAACTGCTGCTTTTGCAGAGAGCAAGAGAGGGGCAGGCCTGCTCCCTCCATCCCTCTTCCAACACACAGGCAGCAAACTGGGAGAGCAGTTCCCCACTGGGGTCACTGCTGGTACCATCAGTCAGCTCCCAGCAAGCAGAAAAGGCAGCAAATACCTCCTACCACCCCCCAGTGCTGGAGAAGTGACATAAAAATATCTATATCTGTTTTGCAAGGGGAAAAGCAAGGAACTTCAGCAAAACCCACATTCAGACCCCAAAAGGTAAAGCAGCACAGGAGGTTGGGCATCGATGGGTCATTCGTTGGAAATCTATGCCTGCCTGGCTTGCCCTCTTGAGTTTGGATAATTTTCGGCTTTGCTCTCTTTTTAGGGAAGGATTCACGCAGTGCTGAGTGCTGCTGGCACTTTGCATGGCTTTATCCCTCCTTAAAGGGGAATTCGTGTCCCTCCTGGAGGAGCTTCAGCAAAAAGCAAAGAGAAACAGATCAATCTCTCTTACACCCAGAACGAAATCCAACAGTGCCCCTCTCTGGGGGATGGAAATACAGCAGCTCAGCCCAAGATGGTTCATCTTCACAGCAGCCCATTGCTTCTCTAAGGGAAAAGAGAACACATATTCTCTATCTGCACGTATACAGATGAAAGAAAATGCAAACGCATACATCTCCTATAGGTGAAACCACGTAGAGACAGGTATTGAAGCTGTTTGCTATAGCTCACCATACAGCCTGAGAACTCCCCTATGTGCCAGGCTTGTTTCTTGCTTGTGAATGAGGTGCTGAGGATGTGGGCTGAATGTAGAGCTCAGAACACACCAGGCCATGCCATACACCAGGATCCTTGCCATGGTGAGGAAGAGGAGGGTGGAAAAACAGGGAAGGAGCCCTCCTCTACCAAACCCATTGGATTCAGGCAGTTGAATTCAAACCACCCAGGGAATTGGGCACCAGCTCTCATGAGAGCTGTTTCATATTCTGGACCTCAAATCTGTACATATTCCACTAAAAATCATTCATCCTAATGGGGAGCAGCCAGGTGCTGCTGACCCTGGGAAGCCCCATTCATTCCCCCTCTCCCAACCCATCCCTCTCACCTGATGCAGAAGCACTCAGAGCTGCTGCTTTCAGATGGAACAGGCTCAGCAGAGGGCTCCCACAGCCCAAAACCTGGTTACAAGACATCCTCACCACAGCAGACAGACAGACGACCTGTCACACCACGCACCCTCAGCTTCCTCCAGTGCCTCATGCAGCCAAGAAGTGATGGGAGAAGACCCACCGGGCAAAGCAACAGCATCTTTGCTTTCATTCATCTGATTCTCTTCCTCTTATCCTCTAAACTCGAGTTTAAAAAGCTGCTGTGGATCAGCAGCAGGAATAAACCTCAGGCCAGGGATGCTCCTGGAAGTTGAGAGGTACAAGTGCAAAGCTTATTTTCCCTAGGGCTTAAAAGAAAAAAGAAAAGGGAAAACACTCAGCACCACCACACAGTCCCTTGGGCACATCATTATGCTGTGGGGGCTCTCAGGTGCTCATTTGTTGGCCTGTAAACCTCACAGACTTCCTGAGATATACTATTAGAAACAGCCATTTGATGGTTCTTTAGAGGCTGCTTTCCTACTGCTGCCCCCAAAGACCCTCCCAGTCCTTCTCCATCCCTCCTCCCCCCACCTTAGCAACACACTGCTACAAAACGAGTCTGCAAAGCTGGCTGGTGGGAAGCAGAAGTCCCAAACCCCCACCTCCCACCCATATAAACACAGCCCTGCTCTGCTGCCCTCACCACAGAGCATCTGGAGCTGCAACCACCAGCCCCAAGCTGCTTTCCTTCTGCCCAAGTCTCTTTTCAAACCTCAGGCAGGTGGAGCTGCTCACCAGATTATTGGCCTTGTTTCTCCTGTGCCTAAATAACCCACAGCCTTCAAACCATGTGAAGCCCCTGGTTGGGTTTTGCTGCTGATTGGGAGCAGGTGCGCTGGCTAGGCTGAAAATCTGGGTGAAAATCTAGGAAATAAGCAGGGGATGGGGAGGAAAAAGTGGTAATGTGGAGCACCTGTGGTGCTGGGTGTTCTGTTAGAGCCCAGCTCTGATGCTGGTTGCAGCATCTTCCCATCCCCTATTAAGGATGAAAGTGAGCAGTGATGGTAGCAGAGCATCACTGC